TTCCAAAATGTCCCTCAATTCATTGCTAATATAGCTAAATTCAGTACATTGAGTCTTCTCAATATTCTGAACAATAGGGGCTCTCAAACCTGACCCGGTTTCAAAAAACCCAGTTGACCCAGTTGAGTTTTTGGCTGGGAGCTGTCAATAAATGTCAAATTTATATACAAAGTTACTGCCAAAAAGTCAACTGGGTCAACTGGGTTTTTGAAAACCGGGTCAGGTTTGAGAGCCCCTAATATCCCCCAATGTATCATGCCCATCTCTACACTCCTTCACACTCTTATTTTCTTCTATGTATTCAAAATAGTGCTTTCCGCTCCAGCTCTACCCTCAAATTCCTTTGAAATTAACCTAAACCCAGTGATGATATAGCTAAATTCAGTATATTGATTCTTCTCAATACTCTGAACAATATCTCCCTATTGACCATGCCCATATCTCCACTCCTTCACGCTCTAATTTCTTTTTTGTGTTCAATACAGTGCTTTCTGCTCCTGCTCTACCCTCAAAGTCCTTTGGAATAATCCTATACTCAGTAACACCCTATCAATCTTTTGAGATTTGAGTGCTTTTGCACATTTTAAAGTGAGTCTTTCTACTCACATTCATCTAAAAACCATCCCTTCAATTCCAATTTGCAACCAAAAGTATCCTTTTGATGATGTTTTGTACCTTGTGTTCATGTGTTCCTCTCCTATTCAGAAAGAGTCAAATATATCAATGTGTCAATTGTCATACCCATTACAATTCTTTCAAAAAAAGTTCTCTTGAGTAGCATGCTGCATGAATCAAATTCAATGAATATATCAACCTGTTTCAGACGCATTGTATGGTGTGGCAGTCTATTCAAAAGTCATAGATTGAAATTGTATGAATGACTTTCAAAATGACTACATACTTATGTTCAAGGTACAACTTTTGAATAGACTCACACTTGGTATGGTCATTTTTATGTAGTCAATTGCATAGGTAAGTGATTCATTTTAGGAGTCGAGCCAAAGTGGTGAAAGAGGGTGAAAGCTGTACATATATATAGGTTAGAGCGGTATCTAACTTTAAACCTATGTACTGCATCTTCACAAATGCTTGTCCAATCAAAGCAAAAAAAGTTGCTGCCGGTCGGACCCATTTGTGAGCTGGATCGTTAATGAGGGTCTGTGCACGATCGGGGCTTCAGCTTTTGTAGCTCTGAGCTCTGAGATTTAATTTTGATGTTACTTGAGCGAAGATCCAGAGAGCTTCTGCCCAGCTACCCGATCCCCCCATCATCAATCCCATCAACCACCTATCACACTCCCAATCAGCCACGTCAGCAACACTTCAACTCAGGAATCATGCGTGAATCGTTTGAGTGTGATTTTGAGATCAGCATCTACACCAAATATGGCGACAGCAAGAATCCAAAATGGAGGCCCTACATCCTCAAAAGGGGTAACATTTTGTTAGAAATTAATCCGAATCAAATGTCATTTCCCGATCTACAAGCAACTGTCAAGCGGAAATGTAATAGCAATGACAATGAATTAGGGGACCTGATTATGACCGACTTTAATTCAGATGAGAAGCGCATCAAATGGATTGCAACAATCTCAGGTACAAGAGGTTGGTCAAAAACCCGAGGAAATCAGGTCCATTGTGAGGAACAGTTTCAAGCCTGGGCACATGAGGTATTGAAGGTATCATCTCAAACAGGTGGCCTTTATTTACTGATGGATAAGCCTGTGTTGAAAGTCGATTCTCAAAAGCGAGTGAGTAGTTTCCTTTTGGTCTTTTTCTGCTCCAAGCTGATTGCTTTCTCTCTTGTAAGAATGCTTTGTTAGCCTCAACTCGCCGCTTATGGTCTGTTGGAGATCAAAATAATGTCGGGGTGGGTGGCCAGTCGACTTTCCTACAATTTATACAATCTGATTCTTTTCTTTATACATCCAGAATATGGCCGATTCAGACAGTCATGAAATTGATCTTTTAGCCAAGGATCTTCAAGCTCAAAGTGTTGTACGACATGATTTGGATCGTTTTTTCCGTGTATATGAGATTCCTGGCGATGATGATGGATATGTGCTAATGTCACCGGGGAATGCTCAGAAATGGGCTAAAGAGATTGTACGTACCAATCATCGTTATAACACGGTTTTTATGACTGATCTTAATCTTAAACTTCTCAGTTGAACCCTACAACTCACGGTGTTTCACAGATCAGTCCACCGAGAGGCCTGCGAGAGAGTAAGAAAGGCACGCTCAAGAAAAAACGTATCCGAACGTCTTATAATCAAGGTGTGGCGGGTCCTTCCCATAGTGTCATTCAGAGACCACCTAGAGGTTCTGCTTCGATGGAAGACTACATCAAATTTGTCGGAATTAACGATCCAGTTGAAGTCAATGAAATCCTCGACCTTTTCAAACCCCATAGGATTCGAGACTATCATAACTTTCACAAAACCGACGGTTCAATCACCAAAAGCGATCTGTTAGGGTATGGTATTCCAGCTGGCATAATCAGTGACTTACTCGACAATGTTGATAGGTTTGACGAGCATCTTGCTGACCAGGATTAAAAAGGTAATCTCAATGTCATAGATTCATTTTGAGGAGACTCGCTAATCATCTTTTGAAACTTTTATTCGGTTGTTTGGATTTTAGGACGCTTCAAGACTTCATTTGAATCAAACGGGTTCCTTTTGTTACTTTGTATCAAATCTCATGTATTGTTTTCTATCTCAAACAAAGATCTTCTTCAACACAGTGTCTTATTTTTCTCTATTTTCTTTATTCTATCATATTGTATTGTTTTTGTCTTCTCTTCTTTATGTACTGATGGTCAATCAATCTTCTTAAACACAGTGTATTGTTTTCTTCTACTTTTTTTCTTTATTCTATCATTCTTTATGTACTGATGATCAATCAAGATCTTAATGCAAGTGTAGCATCATTTTGATCAATATTTGACTGGATCGAAGTTGAATTAATCAAAATGAAATAGTGAGAAACTTGAGATCTCAACAAAATCCAATCAGTCAATAAAAAAGCGGGACTTGAGATTTCACAATGAAATGAAATCAATTGAAAACAACATTGAAAAGGAATCCATCGATTGATAAAGATTGAGATGGGATTGATTGATGAAGATCGCATAAGAAACTCAATATTCAAAATGAAAGAAACTGGGATCGATCGATGAACATCATATAAAAATTCAAAATGAAAAAACTTGGGATCGATCGATGAACATCATATGAAAAACTCAATATTCAAAATGAAGAAACTTCTAAATGAGATCCATGAGATCCATGACCATCATTCCTGGAGGCAATAGATACCCACTATTTGCATACAGAGGGGCAAGTAGTTCAGGAGTGATTGCATCAATTGCTGTCTCTCTGATTGGCCAATTCGCATCTTCATTTGCATTCTCGAGGATGCGAGTTCTCTTGAAGCGTGATTTGATCACAGAGAAACAGTACTCGATGGGATTGAGCTCTGGACAATACGGTGGTAGATATACCAGTAATACACCTTCACCAGACACCATTTCAGCTCGTGAATGACCACTGAATAAGAGTAAACAACCACAACCTCACCTGCTGCCTCACAGAGCTCAGCTACTCGTCCATTGTGATGAATTGAGCAGTTATCCATCACCAGTACGCTGTTGGGATTTGGATAGGGTTGCATTTGTGGCAGCTATTGAACATGGAAGGAAAAAAGTGAGGATGTAAAAATGATTCAGGATATCTATCAATCACGTACCAGTTGGAACTCCAAGAAGGATTCAAATCGCTCGCGATTGATACTGCCCTCTCGGACTGTCAATGCCAGAAGACCATTCAATCCAATCGCAGGAAGTAGAGAGTAGCGGCGAGGATTGTTTCTTCGGACCCATCGATAGACTCGTTCCCCAGATTTTGAACGACCATTTACACGTAGCAAGTCCCTTTCACATATCGAGCTTTCATCTGATGCAAGATAATTGATTCAGTATGGTGATTCCTTCAAGTAGAAGTGGAAAACATACCAGTAAACACAAGCATCTCAGCTGGTATATCTCGCATCCTTTCAATATACTGAGCTTTTCTTTGAAAATCTTTGTTGACATGAGATGTGTTGGCTTTCTTTGAGGTAAGGTGTAAGCGATGATTGAGTTCGTTAGCCAGACACTCGACACTAGGGAGTGCTCCGGTATCGTCGTAGAGCTTTTCCCGGATCTCGTCTAAAAAGAGGTCAGGTGATGCAGCTACCAGCTCATTCAGAAAGTCGCGGTCCTCGTCGTCAAGCAAAGTTTTCCGTCCTCGAGTTTGGTATCCTTCAGGATCTCGGATGACTTGCCGAGTTTCTTGATACAGATTCATCCAACGTTTGAAAGAACGTTTACTGATGTCGGCATGGAGCTCATCGCAAATCTCGTCAGTGGCTTTGCCTTCGAGGATTTTGATAACTGCAAGAGCCTTGATTCGAGGGGGGTACTTGACAAACATTGATGTGGTTGCTGAATCAAATGGTGGCTGATGGATTTGACTGAAAGCACAATCAAAACTGAGCTGTGATCTGGGCAGAAGCTCTCTGGATCTTCGCTCAAGTAACAGCAAAATTAAATCTCAGAGCTCAGAGCTACAAAAGCTGAAGCCCCGATCGTGCACAGACCCTCATTAACGATCCAGCTCACAAATGGGTCCGACCGGCAGCAACTTTTTTTGCTTCGATTGGACAAGCATTTGTGAAGATGCAGTATTTGATAAAATAACCACCAACTATCTCAAACCCTTTGTACTACATACATTCTTTGCTCACCCCCGTCTGCTTGGTTGGTCACATCAGCACCTGAATTAGATCATTCACTCACACGTCGCAACTTCAACACTTCAAACCAGACAATTAGAATTCAAACAAGTCTCATACATCCTCAACTCAAATCGATATCCCACTCGTTAGAGTCATCATCATTCCGAGCCGCTTCCTCATCCATCCTCCCTTCATTGATCATCTCAATTGCAATATATCAAATGACTCGAATAACTCGATCCGGTACACGACATGCATCTCCAGTACTTCCATCTCGTAATGGTTCTCGCTCAGGATCCACCTCTGACTCAGAGGCTGACCAGCGCAACCTCCACAAAACAGCCGGTCGTAATAGGACACAGTCTTCAACAACCAACAAGAAGAAACGCCCACAATCAGCTATCTCAAAATCAGGAAGCAGATCAAACTCAAAGCGCACCCGAACTGAACCAGTAAATGATGATCCCGACCCTATCAACACACAGACAGGAACTTTAACTGACGATGAAGACCATGAAGACGATGAAGCCGATGAAGCCTTAAATGGTATTGACAATGATAATCAAAGTGACGATGTCGATATCTTCACACTTCCCCCGCCACTGATCCGTCCAAATCACATTCAATCCGCTCGTGTAAACCTTTCCGATGCTCGACCTAAACAGAACAACAGCTCGAACCTCTACGGATTTGACTCGAATCTTGTTTTGCCAACCCTAGAGAATTATAAACAAGCAGTTGCTGACTGGCCCCAGCCTCGAATGACAGCTTTTGAACGTACTTGAAGGCTTGGTAATGTGGTCCCACCCAAGGTACACGACGAACTTGTTGCAATTCAGAAGCTCTATCGACAGCACAAGTCTCTCCTGGCAATGATTGGAAACATTAGTTTATACACACTCAACAAGTCAATGTAGGTGAACTTATAACATACTTAATGTGAAATACACTTATGATATTCTAATGATATTCTGTTAAATTTTCTGTTCAATTTATAGTGGAAAGCTTGGTGGTACCAAAGGGCCAGATGCATACCATCTCTGGTTGTCGTACGCAAAAAAAGACAAAACTAAATATAAAAGTCAGTTGGTTTGATGTAAGATGATTTTTGGACATGCGCTGACATAGCACTTACCCTCACGATAATGATAACAGTGCCTGTAAACCGAGAGAAAGGTGTACTAGGCCAAAGAAATAAGGATCTGGGGGCAATGTGGACATCACTCCCTGATGATCATGCACGAGTTTTCAAACCTGAAGTTTTTTATACTTTATCTGGCCTGCCTAAACCTCAATCCGACGATGATAGCAAGGACGATCCCGACCCTGATGAAGCGTTACAACCTGAGGAGCTAGTGAAACTACAGGAATTATATGATGAGATCGTTTGTAAAGACAAAGTCGCGAAGGTTTATGCAAAGGTTGCTGCAGGTATGCCGCAAGGGACTTCACTTCCAGAATTCAACCGCAAGTCTCTCAAATGTGTCGACCGCCTTCAAAAACAAGTTAGTTTCCCTTTTTAATGTTCATCCTACAAACTGATTTTGATTCTCCTGTCCTTCTTTAGATTCAAAACGAGTCCAACCGAATGGAATTTGGGTACTATCTCATTGCTTCGGGTACTCACGCAGCTACCGATGGACAGGCATCTGAACCCGGATGGTGTCGCGAATACACTTCTCACCCTGATATGGTCGAGTATCTTGACTCCAAGGCGAATTTCTCAACGATTTTTGCAACTCACACCCAAGGTCTTTCTGTCAACGAGGCTGTTGCAAAGCAAATTGGTCGCCAACCAAATCAACCAACTTCAAAGCCAGCAAAGCAAGCCTCACCTGGAGATCTATTAAAAGGGAATTTAGCTCGCAATCTGCGCTCTGAGATAGGTAAGCCATACATGTTTTACTCACATCGATGAGAATATGTACTGATAAACATTCACCAGACAACTTGCTGAACATCGAAAGTCGAGGATTTCCTCGCGGACCCGACCCTGTTAATCTTTTACCAAGCAAGTATCCAAGACTTGAACTCATCCAGCTTCCGGGTTTGACACTTACAAGTGAGAAGTTGAAGATTGGCTTTGACAAGATGACCAGTAGCACTCGCCAGCTTTGGCTTAATGACTTTTTAAACGGGAAATTCAAGATTAAGCTCAAAAGTGTGCCTGGTGATTCAGATGACATTCGGACACTCGAAGAAAACAATATCGATGAGGAGAATAGAGCAAGCGGTCTTGAAGGTAATACTGGTCTTGATGAAGGTGATGAAGGTGAATTACCCAACTTAGGAAATGAGTTCAATGACAAAGATGGTGAAGAGGAAGAGGAATGGGGTGGTATCGATATAAGCTCTTTTGTGCCTTTGTAAAACCGCAAGTTTTTTTGTGGTTGTTATATCATCTTGTTTTCCCCTGTTGATTTTTGGTGTGAGATCAAATGCAAACCATTTGTATTTTTGTAGGTTTACTCTTTGTAGGTTTACTCTTTATCTTATCAATTTTCTTATGAAAAGCATGTGAAAGCAGCAGACAAGTTGTGTTTCTTTTCTTTGTGTAGGACAAAAATCTAGATCTTGCTAAACCTGTTTATTTCGATGTTTTCTATCAGCTACATCTTCTGTTTCTTTTACTTATTCTTTGGTCTCAATAGTTATGGTCTGAAAGAACATGGATTGAGGAGTTGCCTTTCTTATCTTTCCTTCAAAATCCATCTTTCTTTGGTATACAAACCAAATCACAAAATTTAACATTTCATTATGATTTGTTAGACAATCTAACGTTAAAACCACCAGCTTAATCAGATACGTTTATTTTCCTTTACATATGAATCAGAAACAAAAGGACTTTCTCATCTGATGGGAATTCATACACAATCATTAAAAATCATTGAACTTTTTTGTTCTACTAAATCTATCTTTCTTCGGAATTCAACAATCAATCTATACTTCGATCGAGCCAACCTGAGTTGAATTATACACAATGTTGGTTGTTTATATATACCTCAAGCAAGTTGACCAAAGTTCAGTTCAACAAAAAACGTTGAGCGTGATGCTCAATGAAAACCGAACACTTTCAGTTGCTCATCAATTGTTCTTGGAAACTGGGTCTTTGTTTTACTGCCATGCTACCTATAACTAAAGTGCAAGTGAAGAAGATTATTTATTTGTGGACTGTTGAAAGTCGATTTGACTGAGTAATGAGTCGACTAAATTGAATCATGGATCGGTTTGATATTGAGGAGAGTGAAGAGGTTTGGAGGTTTGAGTGATGAGATTAGCGACCCGATGAGATGGATGATGATCAGGTATGAAAGGGATGAAACTGACCAAGTTGGATTAGCTGTAGATTGATTGTGCTGAGTTGAGCGGTGATCTTGAATAGTGGTAGTGTTTGATGAGTAGTGTAGTTTTTCAATGAGTAAGTTAAATATGAAGGACGAAAGATTTTTGGAATCAAGAAGGTAGGAAGGATGTGATTGTTTTGATTTGTTTTGGTAGTCGATTATTCAAAGTGAAGTAAGGAGGTTTGGTGTGATGAGTCAAGACTTAGAAAAACGGTGCCAGACTCGTCTGGGAGTACGATGATGGGTGAGACTGGTGCCAGCCGCGTCTATGACTTGTAGACGGGTCTATGGCCTACAGACGCGTCTGGGAGTAGGGGACTTGCGGTGATAGAGATCCTCCAGACGGGTCTCGACTGTCGAGACGTCTTCTAGGGAGAGCTCGGTGTCACTCCGATGAGATTGACACGATTTTCATCGGTAAGTGTCCGACGGGTCTAGTATGCACAGGTGCTTGTTACATGTCACCTCATAGTTCACACCTCGTGGACACCAGAACCAAACCGTGCCTTATTTGGTTCTTCACAAGTTTCCACTCTTCGAGATCCTCTATTACATCTTCGGGGGTCTTTCTCATGGCACGTCTCTTCTTCCAGCTCTTCAACCAACGATAGAAGGATCGGAGGTACGCCGCCATATGTGGTACCATGTTTACCGTGTGGCACAGCCTTCCTACTAGAACATCTACTTGTTCGTATTTCCATTTCGCTCCCTGAACGAGGAACTCTTCCACCTGGTCCCTCCTTTGTTTCAGCTTTTCTTCAGGTAGCTTCACCGTATGCTTCACTCCATCCCACACAAATCCCAGATATCGTTGGCTTGTACTGAAATCTTTGTTTTTCTCCGGGTTTGTCTTCACTCCCATCTTGCTACTTAGATCAACTATGTCCTTCAAGGAGACGTCTTCCCCTGGTCTTTTGAAGAGCAGGTTGTCATCAACCCACCTAAAGATCGTCGGTAAGTTGAGCGTCTTCTTCACTATTACCTTCCATACCTCTGCCGGTCCACCAAACACCCCGCAGCTAGCCACACCGCCGAATCCCACCGCTAAGTCGATCCAGACCCGTCCATAAAAATCGACGATACACAAGAATCTTCTCTGGCTAGGGTGGGCCCAAAGCTGACGATATGCTTTCGCCCAATCCACCAGAGCTAAGTGCCATGCTCCTGGGTTTTCCCTGAAGAAGGACGCCACCACCCTGAAGTCGTCCCACTCGGTTTCATAGTTGTGTTTATCTACGAAGGAGTTTACGGAAGCTATCTCTGGGTCGTCCTGGGGGTGCGATAGGTCGTTAATGAGTCTTACTGTGCCGTCACCGTTGATGGCACTCCCCATCGGATTCGACCGAAAGAAACCAAGTTGTTTGTAGACCTCCTCGTGAGTGTAGGGGCCAAGGATCCTTCCTTCTTTCCTTTCCTTCGTTAGCGTTTTTTCTATCTGGTCTCTCACCAAAAGTGCTGAGGAATGGTTCTCGGGGGTGTACCACTTCCTGTCTCCAAGTGAGTGTTGAGGAATTCCAAGGCAAAATCCTTCCTCGAAACCATCGACAATGTAGGGGATCTCGTCTTCTAGACCTACCAATTTCATTAGCCTAACCCACTCGCTGATGTTCATGTCACATCTCACCGGGCTTGGCCAGTAGGATTTGACCTCCGCTTTATAGAGCTTGCGTTTATGCAGGGGAAGGAGTTTCTTTCCTTTGTTCACCTCATCTTCTGCCGCTGATTCGGGTGAGTCGTCCTCATAGCGAACTTTGAGATTCTCATCTGACTCATATTCTGAGTCCGGCTCTGGGGGTGAGAGTTCTAATCCGCAGCTGGTGTTCTGGGCAGGTTGAATTCCAGCATTGTTCAGCTCAGCTCTCGACGTCAAGGGGGTGGGGTTCTCAGGCAAAATTGAGATGGCATGGCTGCTCTCTGAATATTGGGACAAAGGATGGGGGGGGTGCACAATTCAAAAGTAATTTATTTCAAATTTTCTTCTTTCTCTACTTTGTTTTCCAATTGAAGAGATCTAATCCACATAACACCCACCATTCAATCCACCAGGAATATCCCCAACCAAGGAATAGAACGGTCACCAAGAGACGGATTGGATCGAACACATCGATTTCCCGAGCAGACGTTTAACGTCGAAGGAGTGGGAGAGGGAGGGGGGTAGAGGGAAATAAGAAGTGAGTAATGACTTCTTGTGGCCTAGCCCCGTGCACGAAAGTTGACTTACCAATTGTTGTCTCTCCCATTCTTGTTGTTTCTTCCCCTGCCTCTCCCTCCGCTAGACGATGCATACGATTGTCTATTTGCGTGTTGTTGCCCTTGGGCGAGCCAGCCTTGGTTCGACGGACCAGCAAAGTTGGAGTGTCCCGTAAAGTTAGAGGGGGCAGCCGAGGTCGAAATACCGTTCTGGTTTGAAGGACCCGCTTGGTAGTTCATCGCATATGGTTGCGGAACATAAGGAATGTTTGGAACATCAGTATGATTTTGACCTCTGCCCCGATTACCTCCTCTTTGCCTCATCTGACCACTTCCACCTCCACCATCTCCCCCCTGTCCTTTCCCCTTCCAGGACCAATCATGCTTCGGTTTGGGTGGTTCCAGTGGTTGGCCGGTTCTGAAGTCGTGACCTGACTTAGGTTGCCCAGGAGCGTAGGGATTTTCTTCATACATGAGATCTCCCGCTATATCGGCCTCCCATCTTGCCACCCGTGCCGCTTCTTCTTGCAAACCTTCCGGTAAGACAACCTTTTCCATCTTCTTCCCCTTCCTCCCCTTTCTCTTCTTATCATAAATCACACCCAACCGATTTCTGAAAATCACACTCCTGATTGCTATATGATACCGAAGGCCTACCATCCAGCATTTGTGTTGGATCATCAGGTTGCTAACTATTGCCTTATGTTCCGCGATGTACACAGCATACGCTTTATGACGGTAAAGTTTGTTTGTGTATCTTGCCTCTAGGTCACAAGCAAGAATGAATTCTCCATAGCTCATTCGGCGTTCCAGTTCAACCTCCGAGGTTTTGAATCCCCTAGCATATCCTTTCTTCGAGCCAAAGGGAGCTGTGGCGTGGTGCGCTTCGATGTAGGACCGTTTGAACACCGACAGGGGGACGTAGCGGTTCATCTTCTTAAAGGCTTTCTGCCATTTCTCCGGTAAGTTCGGCAGATCGAAGGATGATGCTGTCGTCCTCTCAAACTTCAAACCCGAGAAAGAATCTGAGCTGCTACCGCTAGAGGAGTTCTTCTCCGTCGACGAGGAGTCTGAAGAGGATGAGGCGTAGCCGTGTTTGGTTTTACCCTCCCCTGACGAGGCATCATAGGAGTCTGAGGAGGAGGAGCTAGAGTCGCTTGACGAAGAACTAGGTAAGTCTTTCTTGTCCATTTTCCGCTTCTTCTTGGATTTCCCAGCAGATTTTCCTCTTGTCTTCGCTTTATCTTTCGACTTCTCTGACTTCCCTTCCCTCTTCTTTCTCTTCTCTTTCGATCTCTCTTCCGCCACCTTTCCTTCCCTGGCCAATGCCACAACCAGTCTATCTCGTAGGAATTTCACCGTGTCAAGGTTCTCCGCCCTTATGGCGTCCGCTAGACGGTCTAAGATCACGTCACTGCTGTCGTCTGTGCCGAGAGGGGCTACGTGTGGCGATGGAGTAGTCTTCTCTAATGGCCTTGGGACTAGAAAGACATGTGGGAAGACGTGTATGTAGAGTCAGTTTTGCTTCTCTGGACTCAGGATTGACAAGAATGTTGTATGCTTCTACTATTACAGGAGCGAAGATGGGACGGGTGTATAACCCTGAAATGGTCTTCGACCAAAGCCCGGGTTGATCTTGTATTCTCTCTGAAGGGGGAAGTTGGGGGGGTGGGTATCCCAGGTATGAATTCAACAGTATCGAAATGTTCTGAGCTTTGACAAGGCTGCAATTCTTGGAGCTATTAGAGGGGAATACAATCCTTGCTACCACAGGAGAGCACCTGGAGCTGATTCGGTGGGATGAGCTAAAGTGACAAGTACGAGATAATCATTCCGCTACAACAGCCAAAAACTGGAGCCAGACGCGCTACGACAGAAGTACTGGAGCTCTGATCACTAGGTGCTTTGACCAGGGATTCACCGACGGAAGAAAGGAGTGTAGGTAGATCCGAGACGGGACCGTCCATTTGGAGGGATAGACACTTACCAAAGTTCTTTTCTATTAACGTCGACAGGTCTTCCGTACCCAGATCCTCATTGCCATCAACCAAGGACGGCACTGATTTGGATTTCTTCTTCTCCTTGCCTTTCTTCGATTTTTTCGTCTTCACTTTCTTGGGCTTCCGGATGTCAGATGACTCACTGTCCCCGTCCGATGCCTCAGAATCAGATGTCGAGTCTTCTCTGTCGTCCATCTTGGTCGACTTCGAATGCTCCGCTTCCTTTGAGGACAGGGTGCTCGTGGTGAAGGTGAATCTCGGGGTAGGTTGGGATGTGTTGTCGCCTTCTAGAGGGGTTTGTCCGACTTGAGGAGATCTTGATTCTGCTCTCTTCAGCCTCTCTTCTGCTTGTGTCTTCTCTTTCAAAAACTTCGCGAGTTTCGCTTCTTCCGCTTGTTTTGCTGCTTGAATCATTGGGTGATCGTTGTATTTGTTTAAGAAGGATTTGGTAGCTAACTGCCTCCACATTCAGATGCGTAAAGAACACTAAATATAAGAGAAAAGAAGAGTGAGAAAGCGAGAGAGAGATAGGAGAGGAAACTTGACTGATTCTCGAGTGCAGCTGTAGGATCTCAGGGGGGCGCAGAGAGAGAAGTGAGAAAAGTTTTCCACTTCTTCTGAGGCGCCATCCCTCAGTCGACATGTGGCTACCACCACTCACATGTCTGAGCTGTGACACTACAGTCTGCACCCGTGAACCCTCTCACTCTACTGAATGGACTACCCTGTACCTCCGCAGGCTCTGGGAACATGTAACAATATTCATGAAGGTCACTGATGATTTGATTGATCTTTGGATCTTTCTGTATGTTTTTCGAAACATGATTGATGGCTGATTTTAACTCTTCAAAATATTCTTGAGCACTGTTCTTGACTTTTGCAGGTTCTGAGAAAGAAGTCCATGAATTGCGATATTGATCAACACATTGGTCAATCCAAAGGTCCTGTGCTGCAGCGAGATCGGGGTCAAAAGGTCTTGGTGGATCAATCGAATCAGAAGGAGTGTCATCATCGGTAGAGATCTCAATCACTGCCAGCATTAAATATGTTCCCTGGTCGGAACATGACCTAGGCTGGGAATATCATTGAGAGAAGAATGGTGCATCAAATCATCTTGCACTGCACATCTGAGCCATAAAGCATACACTACATATGTGCAAACATCTGAGTAAATCCTTAGCTATCAGCTACATACAGGTCCGCTCAGTTTTCTGCTCATCTAGATAAGAAGTTCATGTGTAATACATGCTGTAACTTTGTTCAGATTGAGCCACACATCTCAAAATATTGACTACATATATCACAATGGCTACTCAGGAAATATTCATGGAACTGTGTAACAGTAGCAGGATGGGAATGTGATCACTAGGACCCATATTCCCATCTGGGAACCTCTTTAATGCTGGCAGTGAATTAAAGTCTCGTCATCTTCAAGGTCGTCAATAGTATCAGAATGAGTTGAGGCCGGTGGGGTAGGGGCTTTGGCTTTCGCTTGATTCATCCAGTTGGACATGCAGAAGTTATTCTTTCCGAGTGCTGCTTCTCTTTTTTTCTTGCGGCTGAATCTGGTTTTGTATACACCAAATAAGGTACGGTTTGGTGGAAGTGTCCACGAGCCAAGGAACTGAAGTGTGACATGTCTCATTACATGTCACGCATCGAAGTTGATGTCGAGGCGGGAAGTACACAAGTCCACGTTCCCTCCTCAACGAAAAAACTTTGCTCTTCAGTGACAGCTCAAGGCCAACACTTCTTATTCATATCATTGCAATACTTCACTTTATTACTTGACAATTTTCGTTAGAAACAAATCATTTAAGAAAGAATAAATCATAAAATTCAAAGTTGAAATAAACAAGATCAAGTTAAGAATTAAAGAAATCAGTATCGAAAAAACAAAGTTAAGAAGTACGGTTGAGAAGAATACGATGTCGTTTCAGAATCAAATCAACCAAACAGAGGCTCGAGTTACCCGAGTTCTAACAAGAGCTGGAGCGGCAGCTACTGGTGTTCAACCTGGAGATTGACTGGTGACACCAAGGAGAACAAACCGACGACTGAATGGGAGAAGAAGTGTTCATTCTGATGGAACCCCAACAGGTGGTCGAGAATTAAGACCTAGAGGAATCCGAGCATCACGCGCAAGAAGGTTGGCAATCGAACGTCAACAAAATCAGCAAGAGGAACAACAAGATGAAGATCAGTCAGAGGGGGAGGAAGAAGAAGAATGGGGGGGAATACATCAAGGGGAGGAAGAAGGAGAAGAAGATTCATTAGGAGCTAGTGAAAACGAACCTCACATCCCTGGTAAGTCAAAATCTATTGAATACGATGGTATTTCAAAATCTCTTCCTTTTCCCTCCACAACATCATATCCCCATGGGTTCCAATCCTCTTCCTACGTGAATTTCTCTTGAGGCGAAGTTCTTGCACAACAAGACATTGCAAAATATGATTGACCCCGCCATATCAGGGACAAAGGCATAATTTGCTAGATGAAAAGTTACGTTATGAGTTTCTGTACCCAAAGTTTGAAGCAGAAAACGATGAGGAAATACATACGTGGAAGGAACGTGCGCCTGGCCCGGCTTAAAATAGGTGCCCAGCCTGGCCCGGCTTACAGTAGGTGTCCAGAATAGCCTGATCCGGCATAAAATAGTGATCCAGCCAGACCCGGCTTACAATAGGTGCTCAAATTGGAAACTCCCCTCTTCATCCAACGTGGACGTAAATCAAGAGGAAAATAGAGACTAACATCTTTTCGTAAAATGTTTACTTGCGGTTGGAAAGATTCTCGGAGAGACGCACTTGGCGGATTGATCCAAGAAGCTTACGCTAGAGGAGACGATAGAGAGGCGGCATTGTTGCTAAAGATTCTAAACGGAGGAACCCAAGCAAAAGTGAAGAACGGTCGAAATGAGTATGTCTTAGATGAAGAAGAAACAAACTCCAACAAGTCAACAAACACCTCTGTGGCCTTTGTAAGAGAAGTAATTCCAAAGACAACCGACGTAGAAAACCTACAAAGTCGACAAATTCCTCCAATCCAACCCCCGCCGACCACACAACCACAAGAACCTTCCCAGACCTTAGAGGATCCTCAAAACTGGTTCGAAGGCGCGTCGTCAAAAGAGGAGTCAGATAAAGCTCTCGCTATTATGTCAGCGAAAAAAGGAACGTTGGAAATGGTCAATGGTGACATCATTCACAACGGAAGGATCTTGCGTGGAGGAAACGCGCAAATGAAACAATCTCTTGCCCCACTTTCGCCCGGTTTAACTATAATCCTGAAGGGTTTGACGTCTTACATACAACTCACCGTGTTTGATGAAGAATGGTTGGTCAAAGACCAGAAAGCCTGGTCCTTGAGAACAACAAAATCCGACAAGAAAGAATCCGGAGAGGCACGGATATATGGTGGTGAAGCTCCTGTAGAAGAACTTACCATCGACTTCGAAACTTGGGGAGATTGTATGGCATTGTTTTGTGCTCACTTGGTGTCATGCGGATGGAAACCGGTAGCCGAGAAATTTGAAGGTCACATAGCAGTTGTGAAGAAATTGAGGAAAGATTTCGGCTGGAAGGTTGCTTTGAGATATTGCCGGTTGGTCAGGCAAGGTGTTATGAGAGAAACCGTCAACAAGTCTATAGGAAATTACACAGAAATGCAGGAAACCTTGTTAGTAGAAGCAAAAACGACAGCAGAAAGTTTCAACGAAAGACATTTCAAGACAAACCCATACGCGCCAGGAAAGTCAAAATCAAATATCTGCCCTCTAACAAACAAGTCTAAATTCGCATCAGCCTCAACCCCATCGACCTCAGGTGCACAGACGAAAAATCGACATGCACATACCAGCAGTTACAAAGGTAACGGTAAACGAGGGAAAGGGAGCAGCGGCTACAAAGGTAGACACGATGATGGAAGGTCAAACCGAGACTGGAGACGTGAGGACCGTTATGGAAGTGATAGGTTTGCAGGTCATAGAGATCGCAGCAGAAGTCCAAACCGTAGAGACAAGGAAGGAAACCCTGTAAAAGGGAAACGAGCGTAAGCTAATGGATCTGTACCGTGATTGCAATGGAATGTCGATGAGACAAGTGCATAACTTACGAGGAATGCTAACGTTTAAAACCGTTTCGTGCCATTAAGATCCCCAGAGCCAATGATCCCAGTGTCAAACCTTGTCCCCGAACCTTTCCCTTGCCAGAAAAAGTCACCTTCTTTGCCTGAATTGCTTGACTCACGTGTAGAAGACCCTGAAAGCGGGACCAGAGTAGAAGCAGAGAAAGTAAGGCGAGGTAGAGTGTGGCCGAAAAGACCTTCCTGCGAAATGAACCTGGAAGTGTGGAAGAAAGAATTGAGAACTTACAGGTTAGAGCGGAAGTACGCGCACATAATCAAAGGCTTCGAGCAAGGCTTCGACCAGGGAATAAGAAACGCTTATGTGAAAGGTGTAAGATTCTTTTGTCCAGAAAATCACAAGTCTGCATTAAAAGCAAAAGAAAAAATAGAAGAAAATTTCAAGTTGGAAGTGGAACGAGGAAGAATGTTCGGCCCATGGACACAAGAAGAAGCTTACCAACAAATAGGTTTCTTCCGTACTAATCCTTTAGGAGCCGTCATAAACGGGGATGGTTCATTTCGACCAATCAGTAATCTTTCTTACCCTAAAAATGATCCAGAGATTGAATCGGTAAACTTACGAGTAGATAAAGACGATTTCGAGACTACCTGGGACAACTTCAAGACGGTAGCCTGGTTTTTTACAACGCACAATGGCAAAGTAGTCCTAGGGGTATTTGACTGGGCAAAGGCCTACACACAAATACCAGTCGCAATGGATCAGTGGCGATTTTTAATGGTTTTAGACTTTCAGAATAGAGTTTATGTAGATACCAGAATTCAATTCGGAGGCGTGGGAGGCTGCGGTACCTTTGGAGAAGCTGCAGAGGCATGGAAAGAGATAAGAAATTCGACTTACTTCAAGGTTTTAGATGGGTGGATGACACTTTATTTGTGAAACCCGCAGACGGCTCGAACCCAACTACAATGCGAGACGTAGCATTAGCAAGCCAAGCCATGGGAGTGGAGACGAACGAGAAAAAGTGGAAGGAGTTTGAATTTGAGCAAAAGTACTTAGGTTTTATCTGGAACGGCGAAAATAAAACTGTTAGACTTCCAGCGGAGAAGATAGAATTACGTATGGATCAAATAAAAGAATACGCACGAGAAGGCAAGCAATCATTTAAAAATACGGAGGTCCTGGTAGGGCGTTTAAACCACATAACATTTGTCTTCCCTCAAATGAGAGTCTACACGTCGGCAACGTATAGGATGTTAAAAAGTTGGGGGAATCGTTATGCGTTAAGATCGATCCCACAGGAGGTTCGAGACGATTTGAGAATTTGGTTGGAAACGCTGGAAAAGGCAAACCCGTTGCGTGTAATTCCGAAACCTGAAGTTCGAAATGTGGGGTGGGTAGGCGATGCTTCCACCTCCTACGGAATAGGTGTGATTATTGGAAAGCGGTGGTCCCAATTTAAGTTAAAAACCGGTTGGACAGGAGCAAACTCGAATGGTGACAAAAGAGGGATTGCCTGGGCGGAAACCGTGGCAGTCAGAATAGGTTTGCTCATGATAGAAAGTTTGGAATTGGTGGAAGGCAAGAATTACCTAGTACTCACCGACAATACGGTGACAGAAAATGTGGTGGTTAACGGAAAATCGAGAGATTCGTTGGTAAACACAGAGTGGAAGATAATCCAGGAAAGGCTACTCGAAAAACAATACGCTATATCAGCAAAAAGAGTAATCTCTGCAGATAACGCGGCAGACGCGTTATCAAGAGGTAAGATTTCAAGGAAAAAGAAGTCAGATAATTTGTGGATAGACTTGCCTAGTGACCTCCGCGAATTTTTGGAACAAATGTGAACAAAGGAATTCCAGGAATACCTTGAGATATAAAAATAATGTGAGAAGCCATTCTAAAAGAAACGGCGATTGTAAGTGACGCGACGACGTGTTATTACGCGTTGATAACAAAGATTCGTTCAAAAGCGAGTTTCCCAAAGGGGATGCAGAAAGTCTCCGCCGCGAGAGGGACTGGAAGACTGACCGAGGAGTTGTGAGTTTCAAACAAAGAAAGAGACAGGAGATTAGTTACGGAAAACTCCATCTCCCGAACGTCTGTGATCCAGCATAACCCACAAAACTTCCTCACCAAGACCATGCCCCCGCAGAAGCGAGTGAAACAAACCAATCGTTTGAACCGCCCATACGACGCACCCGGTCACTTCGGAAGGGCAGCCAACAAAGCTTCGAAACCAGGGGCACACTTGGCAATTGGAAGTTGGGCAAAGTCGACACTTGCGGGTTACTCTTCAGGCCTATCAAAGTTTATAGCGTTCATCGAGTCGACAGGAAAGACATTCAATGAAAAAAGACCGATCAGCAAACGACAAATCTACAACTTTATAACTTGGGCTGGAAGAACGAAAGTCGACTTACCAAACCCGCCTAAGAAACCCATCACAGCAAAAACCATTGACAAGTATATCGATGGGATTAACGCTTGGCACGTCGTAAGACACTTGCAGAAGATCGAGGTTGATTCGGAGATAATCAAAATGCTACTCAGAGCAACCAAACGAGAAGAAGAAGGGGAGGTCTTGGAATTGAGCAAGAAACCTGTAACAGTCCAACAGCTTTACAATCTACTCGTTACACTACACGGAAAATCAGAAGTGCAAAGTTTAGTCGCCGACATCAGCATTGTAGCCTTTTGGGGTATGTTACGCTTAGGAGAAATCTTCAGAACTGGAAAGAAGGACGGCGCCTTACTAAATCATCATGTAGAATTCGGAGAATCACGAACGGGGAAGTGGGCGAAGTTGCATCTAAGGAAAGGAAAAACAGCAGCCCCAAATGAAATTCAAGTTATTAATTTACATTCACAGCCGTCAGTATTAGACCCGGTGAAAGCATTAGAAAGAATCTTACGCGCGAATCCGATGAAAGGACAAGATTCCTTCGTTTTTCAAACAGGAGGCGGAGTTTTGACAAAGAGAATCTTTATAAATCATGTGGAAAAAGTTTGGGGGAAAACGGCTTTAGACAAATGGTCCGGCCACTCCTTCCGGGTAGGAGGAGCCTCTTTAAGAGCGAACTTAGGCACATCGGAAAAGACAATAAGGAAAGTGGGAAGATGGAAGTCTGAATGCTTCAGGAGATACATTAAGAATTTCTCCACGGAGGAGATACAGGCAACGAAGCTGTTTTTAGATACGATAAGATTGATTAATTAAAAACTTCCCTCGTTGGAAATACCGATTTACACGAGAACCATGTACAAAAGAAACACAAGGTTTCGGTGGTACACACAGGGAAGTTCCCGGAAGGTAGTACGTAGATCCCGTAGATCCCCCGTCATGCAGTAAGAGGGTTTGTCCGCCAGGCCAAGAACGGCATGACAAGCCCATACCACTCTCGGAAGAAGGGACAACGAACAACCCCGTCTTACTACCAGAAGCCAAACAGGAAAGAGCAGCTAAACGGGCAAGGCAGTTGGGGGTTTCATAAACCACCGACTTTGGTTAACTAAACCAAATTGTTGGTTTAGTAAACCATGATCTTGGGTTTGTCAAACCATAGACTTGGTTTGATAAAACCAAATTAGATGCTCGCTCCGCGCGCTTTCCCACACAGCCCTTACCTCACCACGAGGCAAGGTAAGGGCAAGGATGGTGAAAGAAAATCACCAATCTCAGGTGGTTATATACCACAATCACCCAAGGGGTGATAAGATAAATGCAACCTTTTCTATCACTATTTAAAGTGATGAAAAATCTATACATGGGTAAAACATGTAAACCAAAAGTGAATTGAGAGAGTGGATGTTTCGACTCTAGAGCAGGTTTACCCTTGGCGCTTCCAGGTTGAAATCGAGGCTTCTTGTATCCTTTCAAGAGCACTCCTGTTTTCGTTTTTCGCTTTCCAAGACTGAGAGTAGATTCTGGTGGACTCTTTTGAGTGAAGACAGGGTAAAAGATGTGTTTGACAAGTTCTTGATTGAGTTGTTCTTCGTCAGATGAGTCAGCAACTTCGTTTTGAGCATACAGATGCATCTCTAAAGGATCTAAGTCGTCCTCCTCGGTTTCATAATTAATATCAATTGGAAGCCAATAAGGCTCTGGTGGATGATTAGAAAAGGAAGGAGGTGGAGTTGGCAAAGAGCGATCATTTTCGGATTGTAACTTATCATTGGTAAGAGTCTGAGATGAATCAAGAACGGAATTGATCGTAAGAGTCTGAGATGAACCAAGAACGGAATTGAGCGTAAGAGTTGGAGATGAATCAAGAACGGAATTGAGCGTAACAGTCTGAGATGAATCAAGAACGGAATTGATAAGAGTCTGAGATGAATCAAAAACAGAATTGATAAGAGTCTGAGATGAATCAAAAACGGAACTCATAACAGTCTGAGATGAAGAATCATAAACGGAACTCATAAGAGTCTGAGATGAAGGATCAAGAACAGAACTCATAAGAGTCTGAGATGAAGGATCAAGAAAGGAACTGATAAGAGTCTGAGATGAAGAATCACAAACGGAACTGGTGGTAAGAGTCTGAGATGAATCAAAATCGGAATCCATGGTAAGAGTCGATGAATCGAAAACGGAAGAAGATTGTGATTCGATTATAAGGTCGATTTCAGCACCGTTTTGCGTTAAATCAAGTGAGAAAGGGCTTTCTGATGGGTTTCCGGAAGAGGTCGGAGGGATCGCTGTAAGTTTGGTCATGCTTTGGGCGATCCTGTGGGCTTTCCACCGTTTTTTTTGAGCACGTGATGTGTTGCTTTTCTTCGGCATCTTCAAGCTTCAGTTAAGGCCGATTCGGTGGGTTTTGAGCGTGTGAAGTGATATGATGTGAGGTGGGGAAGGTCTCGAACGGAAATCTTGGGTACAAAAATACACCAGATATCGCTGGTCACAACTGCCCAACATTTCGGACCGGGGCCGGCTCCGGGGCTGTTGCGGGTATTTCTGTGGTTGGGTCTTGATGATAACAACTGTATAAAAACTTGCTTGGTTGAAAAGGTCTTGTTGGTTGCAGCCCAAACTACGGTGGCGCTATTAACAACGGTTGACTTCCAGCGCACCCTGCGCGCCGCAGTCTGCGCATGCGCTGTGGCCAAGCGCCGGGGATTTTGAGAATTTTCCCCACTGCGCCTACCCCCAGCGTAGTGGGTTTTCTGATTTTGACCACTGCACATTTTTGCACCACAGTGGCTATGGGATTGATCAAAACTGCGCCCCCTGCGCTACATTGCAACATTAAAGCAGAGTACAATATGTACATAAACAACGCTAAAGATATTGATACATTAGACAATTTTTGGGCCCCATCCATTATCCATTGGGCTAGAATCTTGTCCAATATTACCCCAATATCCTCCAAAACTCTATTACATAGGGAGAAAAATGAGAGTTGGGAAATGTCTCTTGATGTCTCCTCCTTCACTCACGCTCTCTTGCTCTTTCATGAGATCTTCCTCACCTCAAATTCCTCTCACTTTTGCTCGATAGACCACCACCTTCTGAATTATCAAATAAATCTCTAGCCACTATCTTTGTTTAGATATATCATATTATCTCAAAATGACTTTACGTAGACCCCTTTCTAAGAAATCAAAAGCTCCACTTTCAAAGAAACCCAAGTCTTCCACTTTGTCATCTCAGTCCAACCCCTTCACAAAGTCTGCAAAGCGTGCAAATACTAGTTTTCTTAATCAAACTCAATCACAAATTAATAATATAGCATCAGTTGTTGTAGTTGATGGAGACTCAGATGATGAAAATTTCGACCCCAACAAAGATAATCAGGAATTGGAAGTTGAGGAGGAAGAAGTTGAAGATGAAGAGCCAGGAGAGAATTCTTTCAATAGTACACCATCCCAAACCGATGGTAAACGAACTCGACAAGTGCCTAAAGCCTCAAAGTCCTCAACCTCAACCTTGACCAAAACCAAAACCAAAAGTGGGAAGAAAAAACATGTAAGTCTGATCGTTTCATTACAAATTCATCACATGACTGACTACTATATGGTACTATTAGACTTTATATAAACTTCCTGATAATATTGACCCCGACCAAGATTCAGAAATTGAGTTTCAAGGCGAAACCAAGTCTGGTGAACAGGGATTTGATTCAATTAATCTCTACTTTGGAAAGGAGCTTATACATGGACCAAAGCAAGTAAGTAGAAGTGTTTCAATTACGTGGTTGTCAAGAAATCTAATCTGACAAATCCTTTAGAAAGAAAACGAACCACCTAGGTGCCGTGAATGCTTGTGGTGTGGTAATGCATACACCGATGGCCGCAAAAGCCGTTGGAATCTTCTTGGCCATCGAGATGGTGATCTCAATCGCAATCACTGTAAACAACGCCACCGGGCAGTCGAGGCTGGGGCAAATCTCCCACCAACCTGGCAGGACAAGCAGGCGGAGTTAGCACGTGCCGAAGCTGAGGAAGAAGTTCAGAAGAATCACACACTTGATGGTTTCCTTGATCTACCAAAGTTCTCAGTTTCGTTACTCAACATCATATTAGTTCTATGGCTTCTTCGCAACTGCATTCCTTGGCTACGTATGGAAGATCCGTATCTTCAGGCTGCATTTGCGCTGTGCAATCCATCAGCCAAGCTATGGACGGCTTTGTGGGCAGCTTGGAAGGCGATGGACTACTTTGAGGAGTTCCACCACAAGCTGATCAAGACTCTTCAGGTGATAAGTTTTGCTCGATCTATATGATCACTTGATTGTGTAACTGATGTTGATCTTGTTTGGCTTTGACTTTGGCTTCGTTTCCCAGGATCTATCATCCAAAATCTGTGTAGTTCATGATGTTTGGACCACAAAGGGTGGAAAGCGAGCATTCATTGGTGTGGCTGTGTCATATATTGACAAAGATTTTCATTTTCATATGGTTCATTTGACCCTTAAGCTTGTAGCGTGGAATCATTATGGAGTTTTACTCGCACGCCCTGTAGGACGTTTCCTGATACGGCATGGACTACATAAAAAGATATGTTCTTTCCATTCTTTCATATCAATGATGTTTTTTTGACTCGATAAAAAGCTTACCTTGGTTTCGTGTCACACATGGTTTCTCAAACAACGGACTCAGGATCAAGCAATCCTCTTTTAGCCAAAGAATTAGAAAAGATGTTCAAGAATGCGGATGATCCTGTCTATTGGAACTCAAGTCGAAATCAGATACGATGTTATTGTCATAAATTGGCTCTCACAGTCAAGGCTGGATTGGACACGATTGGCTTTGGATCCGGCCAAACAAAACCCTCAGCCCCTTGTGGAAAGAGACTTTATTTACTCTTGCCTGATGACAGCTTACCACCCCCAAAGATAGTGCTCTCGGACGGTACTATACTCGAGGACAAGGACAACGAAGTTTCTGGCGCAGAGGATCTTACTGATGTGAATCCAATCACAGATTTAGCTCGTGATGAAGACGCCGAGAGCAATGAAGAAGATGAAGGCCCCGACTACAAAACACAAGATCCAGAAGCCGATCTTCTACCACGTGCTCTCACCAAGGTAAACCCCCTTCGATCTGTATCCCACCACTACATATGTTTGATAATGATTTGATCAATCATCTTTTCCTAGATTCGAAGGATCAACAAGTTGATCACATCAAGTGCTCCTCGTATCAATCATTTTCAGAACTCAGCACTCCAACTCTCTTATAAGGGCCCTGGACTGATCGGGGCTCATGGCCAGCGGTGGAACATCTGGTACGATGCCCAGTCGCGCTGTTGTGAAGCAAAGCAGGTAAGTACATAGTCGAATTCTACAAATGGAAATGTATTGATTATTTCATTGCTCTTCTCTGTTCCAATTGCCATCCTTAGGTTATCAATTTCATGATCACATCTGATCAAGAAGGGTATTACGAAGGGATCACTATATCTCCCGATGAGTGGAAGGCAGTCGAGGCACTGAACAGTGTTCTCAAGGTACACATCAAGTTTCTTTTGCTCCAAGTAGGGAATATTGACTTTGTATCTCTCTTGGTCAATGTGTAGATTTTTCTTCGTTCCACCAAGAAGATGGAAATAGACGGACCAACCGCGGGATCGGTGCTCTTCCAATACTCCACTGTAATCAGCTTATTGACCGCAAAGAAGACTGCGACACCTCATCCAAGCATCTCATCAATGATAACCACGATGACTAGCAAGCTGCGACTGTACCAAACCGAAGCGTTACACTGCGACCCCATCATATTGGCAACCATACTCAACCCGAACTTCCGTCTCACTTTCTTCACCAAACAGTATCCTGAATACGCCATGAATGCTGAACGACTTTTTCGTCAGACACTCGGATCCCTTGAAGAGCCACATGGCGAAGAGCAAGATGAAAATCTTGATTCTACACTTGGTCCGACTGAGGAGTCTGACCCATTTGAAGAGAAAGGTGCCTTCCATGCATCTGCGGGTCTGAAACTCTCTGTCGATGACGAGATTGACCTTTACATGTCTGGTAAATACCCTTGTAAAGGCGATATATTGGAATGGTGGCGAGTAAGTCTTCCTTCTTCCTAATACACACACTTACTGGTACTCAATCAATCTATCTTCTCAGTTCAATCAAAAGAACTTCCCAAAGCTCGCTAGGCTTGCGAGAGACTATCTCTGTTGTGTTGGAACTTCTTGCGCTGTTGAGAGGACCTTCAGCACAGCAGCTCACATATGTACCACCAGTCGTGGTGGTCTAGTTTCACGAACGATCGAACGCGCGGTAGGCGTCTGTCAGTGGCTCAAGCATGGTTTTTATCCAGGTGGTGAAATTGGAAAAGCTGTTGTGGCTGTAGACAAACTGGTGAAGACTTTGAAAAAGAACAAGAAAGCCCAAGACTCGAGCAAATGAATGCTCGGCCATCTTTGGCCTCTTTCTGCTCTCATTCTTAATTGCTTTTGATCATTGTTTTATTTTCGGAACGTTCTTTAAAACCCTTTTAATCTTCTAATTGATTTAAACTTTTCAATGTTCCAATTCAAATCAAAAATGATCTTCTACGTACTCCGCTTCAAACTGTTCTATTCCGCTGTAAGCTCATCAGATTCGGAACTCCCAAAAATCTGATTGTCCCCATTTTACAATACCTCGCTCTACCTCGCTCTACCTCGCTCTTGTGAATCTTGGCCTACCTACCGCAGTTTTGAGGTTACTGCGCTGTGCTGAACTGCACCTTTGCCCACCGCTGGGGTTATCGTTTCTTTTGTCACTGCGCCCTCAGCGCTGCGCAGCGACAGAGCATGTTTTCAAAAGTTTGGACGCTGCGCAGTTTAGCCCACTCTGCGCGGTTCTGCGCTGAAGTCAGGTGTTGGCGCTAAGGTGCCACATGAGTCACCTCGTCAGAATTGACAAAATCGACCTCACTACCCCTAAAAAAAACCCTCCCAAGCCTATGCCGACCCTGGCCCGGCTTGGCCCGTTGCCCTCTCGACTCGGAGATCCAGATATTCTTCCATCAAGCCTGTTTCATTTAACGCTTCTAAACAAACGATTAGACGGTTCACAGTAGACCACAAAAGACCTTCAATGACGATGCTTAACCAAATCCTCAAGGTTATTCCAATCAACATCGAGTGGATGGGATCAATGGAAGTTTCAAAGTAAGGTTAATTATCTTATCATCGGTTCTTTATCATTGGTTCTATTTTGCTAATTATTTTATGATCGGTTCTTTATCATTGGTTCTATTCCAAGTTTTAGATTCCTTTAAACCGATCTCAATTCTTTACGTTGTTCCGATGTTCAGAAATTACAATTTATAACGTACAAAATTATTAAATTTTCAAATCATCATACTGAATCGAAAGAGCAAATTCAAAGACTACTAGTGATACTTGAAAGTTAAAACTGTCCAATTTGTTTAATTTTTGTTGTTTTTTGATGCAATGACACTATAAAATTGGATTGTTCAAAAGTGGATCAACTCATCCAAACAAACTAAGACTGTTAAAAGAAATACATACTACATAAATCAATTGAAAAACAAGACCAAGATGTATTTTAACATTCCAAGATGCTATGTCAGTACCTTCGCGTTCTAGGAAGACAAGCAGTTTTCAAGACAAAAATAAGGGAGATAGAAGTATCCATGGGATAAAAGGATTAAAATTGTAAAAGGAAATTGATTGGTTCAATTTATATAGGTTGTTTTCCTATGAAGTTTGCTTTTATTACTCCTATGGTCCTTCATTATCGTCTTGATTTTGGAGTTTATTGTACTTGAACGAGTCTATCTATCGTTTTCTTTACTCTGCTGAAGTCGATAAGTCGGTGATGAAAATCTGATGGAGAATCTGATGATTTGGTGAAACAGGGTCGGCAAACAGGGTCGGCCGGGGTCGGCACTTGGTCAGCGGACCTTTTTGGGGGTTTGGAAGGTTGATTTTGTCAATTCTGACGAAGTGACTCATGTGGCACCTTAGCGCCACCGTACCAAACCATTGTTTGGCCAGAATCATCATCACGCTTCTTTATGTACTGCAACCGTCCGGGATCGTCCACTATCGGTTATCATGACGTGCCGAACAAAATGCCGCGCGAGCGCGGCCACGGGGCACTTCGAGCTGTACATGCAATCCATTCAATTTACATTTTGGCCGGTGCCCCTGGGCCATGGGAGGATCTGCCTCCACCAGTTGAACACGCTTTCATCCATCGACCACGAACCCCCCGTCTACCTTTACCATCGGCCACCTGTCTCATTGAAGATCCCTCGTCGGTTTACGCTCAATATTCGCCTTCTTCCGATCTCTGCTGTCCGCAATCTCACCTTCCGACGCGCGTTGGTATGCCAGCTGCTCGAAAGTCACTTCCCAAAAAAACAACGCGGCGCGTAGAGTCAAACAATGATCATTCGTCTGAGGAAGACGATCCACCCGCTCAAGGAACATCAAAAAATACCACTTCTAAAAAAGTTCCACGACAAAGTACCAGCGGGAAAAAGCCTCGTGGTGAGCTCCTGTGATTCTCTTGAACCGATACCTGACGAGCCAATCGGTTCTCAAACTATGAACCCAAATCACCAACCTCTAACTTTACTCTTGATTATGATGTTCCACAATTGCTAACGTTACTCATTTTTAAGATTCCGATGGAACTCAAGAAAAAAGGAAACCTCACCGCTATCGTCCTGGTACGGTAGCCTTACGTCAGATTCGACAGTATCAGAAATCGACCGACCTTCTCATGCGGAAGCTTCCGTTTGCTCGCCTGGTAAATTAACTCGGCCGCGTCTTTTTTCACTTGAGAGCCCGCTTATTGACGGCAACATGCTACGCTTTCGACTCCAGGTACGTGAAATCGCAATGGATTTCGCAACTGCCACCGATAACGATGTTGGATTGCGCTGGCAGAGTACTGCTTTACTTGCTCTTCAGGAAGCAGCCGAAGCGTAAGCTCCAATTTTTATCACTCAACTCAAGACTCAACGATTACTGAGACCATCCTTATGAGTTTAGATACTTGGTACACATGTTCGAAGATACGAATCTTTGTGCAATACATGCTAAACGAGTGACCATCATGAAACGGGATATGGCCTTAGCTAGACGGATTCGTGGCGGACCTTGGGCTTCTGATGTGCTTTGAGTGATCTGTTTGTTTTCCTTGTATTGACCTAGATACCTAATCGTGATTCAGGATACCTTTTGTTTTCTTTTTTATGGGATCTCTGGGCTTTTTTTTGTTTTTTGTTTCCATTGAATCTCTCAGTGTAATTAAGTTTTGTATTGCGTAAGTTCTGAGATGGTACTTGGTACTTTATTTCAAGCTCTTAGTTTAACAGCTATAGTTTCACGGAGATGGTCAAGCCCCTCATTCAAAGAGGTATGGAAACCTTGACTATAGGGATTGTAAGATACAAAACCTTTATCACATTTGTTGACAAACTGTTTCATTTGTTTGATTAATTCTTTCTTCAAAGACGTTCTAACTCTCAGCTGTGGTTTGCTACTTCGCTTTCTTTTTCAAAGTGATCCATCAACGCACACTTTGTACACTTTGTATTTACGACCAAGTCCTCCGTCCCAAACTGAGAGCCTCTTTGCTAAATCTCCTTGATAGTTGACCAGGAGGTGTAATTAAGGACCAGTTGTATGCATGTGTAAATCGCACGGTCAAGAGGAATTTACGTAATTGTTCTTCTCAAATTTGATTTCGTGACAGATTTTGGGATGGTGTCTTCACGGAACTTGACTTCAGCGCGAAGACCTTCATTCTCAACATCAATCAACCTATCAAGTCTCAGAACTCTTGATCGTCAACTCACTCTCACATAAGCTTCAACAGATCCAATTCGCCTTTGAAACTCGCAAGTTGTAAATTATTATTTTCAGCTCAGATCGAAGACCTGGACTATTCAACTAACTGCCGACGGGTATGGAAGACGACTCGTTTATCAAACAATCTCTCACTGATACACTCAAGAATGGAAGTATTCAACGATCATCGAGCAATAAAAGTTTAACTCGACCTAAGCGTATCTTGAACGTTAAAGAACTTACATCACGAAAAACAAAGGCGGATGAAGACACGGGTGGAATCTTGAAAGCCCTGGGACTTACACCGACGCCTCGTAGGATAGCGAATCGTGCGACGTTTGATAATGATGATGGTGGAGACTGGGAACAAGTCGATAATGATCGAAGCTGTTATGATGAATTTGGATCAAAGGGTACATCCACTCCCAAAGCGACACCACTTCCTACAGGACCAGAAGAGTTTTTAAAGAATTCATCACCTACTGGTCACTTCAATCAAGGATCTGGATCTGGCAATGCTCGACATAGTTCTCTCAAAGCGGATAACGAAACTATTACATCTTTACGTAACAAGTTATCTGAAAGTGAAAAGGCCAAAGAAGAGCTTTTATCAAAGTGTCGAAGATTAGAACGTGAATTGAATGAAGTTAAAGATTCAAAGACTAGACCAGAAGGTAAAACACTTGCTGCTCGGGAGTATGAAGAATTAGAGAAGCAATTTGATGCACAAGAAAAGGTATGTCACCATTTTCTTACAAACTGATGCTATCAATCAGACGTGTCTTGAATTCAACTAATACGTGATTGATTCTTATCAATTGTCTGTCTAGTTACTCAGTGGATATCAACGTGAAAATGAAAGATCATTAATAGAACTTGAATCAGTCAAAGTCAAATCCTTAAAGATGGCCACTTTTTTAAACAAAGTTTATGGACCAGATTGGGAAGACACAATCGGATTAAATGATCCATCTCCCACTTCAAACATTAATCAAAACACCTCACATACTTGTACACTCACACCATTACCTACGACTCCTGCAGAAAAATTTACCACTCAATTAGCTCAAGTCCAATTATTGGTTCAAGGTATGGAAAGAAGACTTGTAGCACGACAAGGTGAATTAGAAAGTTTATCTCAAGTAGCTAAAAAAGATAGTGATGAATTACACCAAACGATTTCCAAAATAGATTTGAATCAAAAGATTACGGTCTGATAACTTGGCTCTTGACCTTTTCCTTTCCTTCCAAGGATCATCTTTGTCATTTATCTTTAGCATGTATAAAGAGCACTCTTACTTTCTTTTTCCATATCTTAGGTTGATTTTTTTTATTTTGTACATTTTATTTTTATTGATCTTGGATTTCATATGATGAGAAGTTAATCAAACCGATGGCTCGATCTTCTAAAGCTCAGGTTGGACAGTTTATAGCAATTCAAAGTCATGAGAGAGGATCTCTTTTCCATTCATCAAAGCATTGCTCAAAAATTTGAATCTTTCAAGATTACAAATCACTCCTCAATAATTTGCTTACTCTTGATGATCTGGTTCATAACTCACAAGTCAAGAGAATCCAAGACAATCCAAGCCAAAAAAAATGAAGTGATTCCCACCAAGTTCACTCGGATCCATATAAACATCCTATTTTATTCAAGAAATTAAGATCTTTGCATGAAATTTGTTGGATTCTATTTCTCATGGTATGTACCTATGTAGGTAGATTTTTAGGGAAGCATGTTGGGATAGTGGATGGGATTCAAGTGTGAGAATGGTATGTATAAGAAGATCAGATGGATCTCCAGATTACAAATGGGATTTTATGACGTTCTACTTTTGCATTATGACAGTTTGATCAGGTAGAAGAAGAATTAGCAAAGTGTAAGGACGAAAAGACCAGCTATATTGTAAAAGAAAGGGTTCACCCTAAGGAAGATCAGTAAAATGATGATCGCATGAGGGTTCATGGTCGTTGGGCAAGGAGCCTAGTGAAAGGAATATCAAGAGCTATACATATATAGGAAGAATGCTAGGTTGATAGATTGGTAGTTGATTTTGCCAGCTGGTACTTTTGTTCTCTATCAAGTTTATCAAGTTCTTGTTTATTACTTGAGGCTTAAAGCCCGAACTTAACAAGACTGAAATATGTTTAAGACCGCAATTGGTTTAATTTGTATGCATGATAGATGATGCAAGGATGGAGCAGCGATGGGATTGATTTGGAGTAAAGTTCGATTTATCACCTTGCTACGTAGATTGATGGGATTCAGATTGAAAGGATATGTAGGTACATAGCTTGAATGATGATGATGATGATGATGATGATGGATGGGGTCTGGGAAAAGGGGCGGGCATGGCAATCAAGTGATTTATAACTGACTAGCTATCAGTTTGCAACTTTTTCCCTTTCCGATTTGGACTAAATCAGTTTTAATCAAATCAAACAGCTCTTCATTCATCAGTCTATTGATCCAATTCCCCTTTAATCTAACTTTCTTCTGTTTCTTTCCCCTTCTTTTGATTTTTGTTTTCTTCCGTCCTTTGATAAATAAACAATAAGTGGTTTGTAGTCCAAACAAGCTGAACTTTTCAAATTCAGAATTCAGATTTAAGTAAAGTGACTCTTATCGACAGATATCTTCTTGAAAGATTACTTTAACAAATCAACCGAAGAAACCAATCACTTCATTCAATCACAATCAAATCAAATCAAACGAACAAACCAACCAACGATGGCTGAACCCCTTGTGTACCCAGATTCACCATTAGCTGATTACTTAAAACAATCTGTACCTTCTGAATTACCTACTCTGATCAACTCAAATCAGGATCTCAACAAGAACGATGAACCATTGAACTTTGACTTTCTATTCGATTTCTTCAATCGACTTCATGAACTTTGTTCTCAGTTTGATCTTAAAGTTAGTCTTCATCTCATTCATCACTTCATTCTCACTTACCATCACTGATTTCACTTCACATATAGACTTCAATCCAACTCATTCTCTCTAACTTTCAATCATCAAACTCATCAACCGATCCATCTCGAGTCGATCAAACTGAGTCATTTGATCATGTTCAAGCTCGTCTCTCAGAACGTCTCAAATACCTCATTTGTTCTTCATTCTTACTCAATCCTCAACTATCTCCCGCCTTCTATGACTCGGTCTCAACTCCTCCAATGGGATCGGACCCTGATCCTATCTCAACACCATCCTCGACCCCACCAATACCAACTGGAAAAACTCACACCAACCCTTACATTCCCATCGCTATATTCTCGCTCCTTATACTCAACTTCCTTCCAAAATGGCTCACCCTGCTCATCATCATCGTTCTCGGATCAACTTTCTTTCTCCTTTACCCTCTACTACCATCTCATCAGTCAACAAGCGAACTGAACTCTGATCCACTTCACTTTCAGTCAAAACTCGTTCCAACCGCTGCCCAACTTGTTACCAATAGTCAAGCCATGGACGTTCGTATCAGTCGGGCAATGGGAGCTGTCAGGGAAGTTGAATGTGTAGCCCTCGGATTAGCAATGTAAGTTATCTACCCAAAATCTCGTGACCTGTCACTTGTACTTACCTTTGCATCATATCTCATTTTGGTCATTTCGCGGGTCCTCCCATGCTCATCCATAGTTCCGATCCTATGCCACCTGTCTCTCGGCTCGAATCTGCGTCATTTGCACTTGGGACCGCGGACAACGAACTTTCTACTGAGTCGCCCTCTCTTGGGGGTCTTGCTAGCTCACCCACAAATATCATTCAGCCTAAGCTTCATGCCATCGGATTGCGCAAAGTTGTCAAAAGTGTGCTCGATCAAGCTCGACATCTATATGAACATGCAGCCGTCGAAATCGAAACTGTTCTCACCTCGTTTTCGTCTAACCCTGATGTTCGCCCACCATTGGATGCATTGATGGAAATGTATGGATGTTCACGTGAAGGATCGGCGACCACGTCTAATCAGCCCTTCGAAAGCGCTCGCACTCGAACTCTCTCCCAACGCAGCAACAGAAGGGAGTCCTTGCTTTTCAATTCATCTTCACCTCGTGAAAGCAGTGACTCTCAGCATAGTCTTAATCGATACAGCTGGCAGCCTTCCTTGTTATCCTCTGGTCGATCCCCACCTCGTATAGCTACCGACTCTGACTCACTAGCTTCTCCGAATCCGGTTGGCTCTTTTGAAGACTTCAAAGCCTCCATGTTACGCCGTAGCCATCCCCGAGCCCGGCTTGCAGCTTCGATAGGCTCACCCAGCGAAGGCCTTTACGCCAACGCTCTTGGACTTGGTACCATCCCTACCAGCCCTCATAATTGGTCTTCCGATCCATTTTCGCCGTCACACCATGCGTGTTCCGGAATACCAGAGATTGAACCGGTGAATCGCTTGCGAGAAAGCGTTCATCATGAATCCTTCACATCATCATCTCCGACTCCATCACCTCGAGTCGACCGTATCGATAAGCGCATCTCACTTGGGTGGGGCTCAAGCCCTGCAGGCCTACGTCCATCTCCATCCCTGCGTGGACGTACTAGGCCGACCTCAATGATGGCACAGTCATCCATTCGCCGTGCCTCGTCTTATGGTCCCATTATCCCAACCCAGTCTCCAGCTCGTGAGGAGCATACTCCTCGTATACCTGATGACTTTGTGACTCATAATCGAGTACCTGAAATACGCGAGCCTTTATCACTCATTGAACTACAAGCATCATTCGATCGAATGCACATATCTCGAAAACGCATCTTATGTGGGCTCCTTGCACTCGATTTTTCATGTCCTATTGCGGGGGCCGCCGTTTGGTCGCAAACAGTCGAAATTATACAATCATTAGTTGAAGCCATCGAAAGGTTGGGGAATGAAGTCAGTGACGGCATGAGTCTTGAGTTTGGCCCTGGCTCATTCGAAACGAAAGCGGTACCCAAAGCTGTTCGTGAGGTCACTGCTTCCACCAATGCCACTCAAGAGGAAAGGCGAGATTCCCGAAGGAGGTCGTTTATGGATTTCGCTCCACCTGCCCCACCTGGTGAAGCAGATCAACGTAGAGTTGTCGAAGTCCTGGAACAATTGAAGGCCGTCGACTGTGTGTTGAGAACACTGTCGGCCAAGGTGAGCGTTTGTGTCGAAGAACTAGGGAGTCAGACCCATGTTGAAGAAGGGAGAGCTACAGCCATGGGTGTCCACGAATCGATGCGAGCTGACTTGGAAAGATTGGGACGTGAATGGGATGAAAGCCGATGTAAGATGAGAAGGATTGTAGAGGGAGAAAAGATATTAGGACAACATCGGCTCTCTTCTGGGAATCGGGCTCGACCTGAGTCATTTGACAGCATTAGTGAAAGCGTCAGTGGCACAGGAGGAGGAGAAAGTGGCTCAGGGCGTACTTCATCTGTCTTCTCTAGCGAGGCTCTCACACCGGTCGAAGAGGATGGACCTGAAATAGTTGAAGATGAAGATACAAGAACCAAGAATTTCAGGCGATATGGTCTTGAAGAAGTCTTTGAAGCAGTAGTGACTAACAGGACTCGATCAGGATCGATGACTACTGGTCAAATCAAATTAACAAGAGAGGAGCGAATTCGACTGGCTCGTCAGAAACGTGAATCGATGCCTGTTAGCTCCAAGATCGAAGCCAACACAGGTGGTGTGGTGACCGAACTAAAGGATGTACTCAGTGTGCTCAAAGCTAGACGTTTAAAACAATTGGCCCAAGACCAGCAAGTTGAGGCAGGGACTGTTGGTCAGCGTACTAGTCTGATGTTTTAGGAGCTTTTACCACGGACAAGAATGATTATATCTATATATGATAATTTTGTAAGTTGATCTTTTCTTATCTTTGGTATTTCAACCCGTTCACTAATATCATTTATCTTTACGACAGAATGTGTTTTCGCCTGTCTTATCATTATTCAACTTTTGTGTTTCTCTCTCTTTCTCGCTCTCTCTCTGTCTTTTCTCTTCATGTTCCTAATGTTGTATAACTTTGGTTCAGGTTCACTTCGTTTTTTCAAACTTTTCTACATGATCTTCGTCTGTCATTTATAACAACATATCATCATCATCATTATCATCATCATCATCACTGGATATAGAGGCATCTTTACTTTTTTTTTTTACTTTTTTTTTCGTTTTCGTTTACTCATCTTAAACCATGCAACATTACCAAACCGAAAAAAAAATCACAGAACTCTTTATGCATCACAAACCTTTTTATTTTGTTTTTTCAGTCCAGTCATTCTTTTTTTTTGACCATAAAATATCAGTTCTTCTGGAAACAGCTATATTGTGATTATTATTATTTTTTTACGTTGATTGAGGAAAACAAAAACTGGATTTTTCTTGATTTCATTTATGATGAGTGTCTTTGAGGCTTTATTCTCGTGTGATGAGAAGGAAGATCGTTACAAAGCGATTCCCTGATGAGCTGCTAGAGCGCTGTGTGCACAAAAAAAGAGGCCTTTGATTTTATGTTTGTCTGATTGGCCTGGCCCTCATGGGGTAAGTTTGAAAAGAGCACATTTACTGTACCCCGAATCCTGCGGGGCCGGATTCAACCAGTGGTGAGTCGTGACACACAGCATTGACAGGTCAGTTGTAACCACTCCGCAAGAAAAGTCAGGCAAAATTTTCACAAATCTCAAAACCTACCTCGACTCTTTTCACCATCAGATTCATTGAAAGATGGAGATTGACTCGACAACAGCTTCCTACGTGCCTCCGCCGACTCAAGTAGCGTATGTCCTATGTGCTGATTGTGGTGAGTACACATCCTTCACCTTTGTTTTCAAACTATCTTTCAACCGATGAATATCTTGGGTATACTCATGGTCAATCTTATTCTCCAGGAACCGCCATTGAACCTAATACCGCTGGTCTCTGTGTCAACTGTCTTCGTAACACGGTCGATATTACAGAAGAGATACCTAAGCAGACTGCCCTCAGTTTTTGTCGTAACTGTTCACGTTATCTTTCACCTCCGCAAACATGGTTATTGGCCGAACTTGAAAGCAAGGAGTTACTTGCGATCTGTCTTCGAAGGCTTAAAGGTTTGACCAAAGTCAGACTCATTGATGCAGGATTTATATGGACAGAACCTCACAGTAAGAGGTTACGCGTTAAGCTCACTATCCAGAAGGAGGTTTGTTATCTTCTCTAATAAGTTTATTGTACTGTGAAGTGTTCCATTCTCATCATTCTTGTTGATCCTATCAGGTATTAGCTTCAACTATACTTCAGCAGATCTTTGAAGTAGAATACATTGTTCAACACACTCAGTGTCCTACCTGTTGTCGTTTGGCTGCTAAAAACATGTGGCGCGCCTTAGTCCAAGTTCGTCAAAAAGTCGACCACAAGCGAACTTTTTTGTACCTCGAACAGCTCATCCTTAAGCACAGTGCCGATAAAGATACAGTTGGAATCAAAGAATCCAAGGATGGTCTTGATTTTTTTTATGCTACCAGACAACATGCGATCAAAATGGTGGAATTCTTATCGGCCATCACACCTGTACGAAGTAAAACTAGTGAACAACTTATCTCAGCCGATGAAAAGAGTTCAACAGCAAATTATAAATTCACTTATTCCGTAGAACTAGTTCCGATCTGTAAAGATGATATAGTTTGTTTACCTGCAAAGTTGGCTAGATCACAAGCCAACGTGGCTCAAATCTTAGTTTGTACCAGGGTGGGCACATCAGTTCATTTAGTCGATCCTATTACACTTCAAGCGATCGATTTACAAGGACCGGTATATTGGAGGAATCCCTTTCCGCCATTAGCATCCGTCTCGAACTGTATAGAGTTTGTCGTCTTGGACATCGAGCCAACTTGTCATCCACCTAAACATGTTGGCAAGTTCTACCTCGCTGACGCTCAAGTATCTCCGGTGACATCTTCTATGGGAGATGATGCGATCTTCCATACTCGCACACATCTAGGTGGTATATTGAGGCCCGGTGATACTGTATTAGGCTACCATCTTGCCAACTCGAATTTCAACGATACCAACTTCGAGCTTATGAAATCAGATCGAATTCCTGAAGTCATCCTGGTCAGAAAGACGTATCCAAACAGACGAAAGAGAAACAGGACGAGAAACTGGAAGTTGAGGTCGATTGCTAAAGAAGCTCAAGATGCACCTGAAGATCATGCTGGATTAGGTCGAGCAAAAGTAGAAGCTAAGAAAGGTTCAAGAGGAATGGCAGACCAAGCAAAGGTAGAAGCCGAATATGAATTATTCTTAAGAGATCTAGAAGAAGATCCAGAATTAAGACAAAACGTTCAATTATTTAAAGCTGAACCGAAGCAGAAGAAGATGGCAATTGATTCGATGGAGATTGAAGGAGATGCTGAATCAGTGGTAGAAACGGAAATGGATGAAGATGATGATTTCCCTAAGATTCAATTAGATGAATTACTTGATGAGATGGAAGCCTTGAAGATTAGAGAAGAAGCTTTAGCTGAAGTAGATGAAGTAGTAGAGGAAGAAGAGTGATCAAGATATCTCATTTGATTTGGGGTTTTACTTTTTGAGCTTCTTATACTCTTCAATACATAACATTCTGTTGGTAAACAAAATGCATTTTGTAATGAAGCACTATTGACAGCTAACAAGCTCATTGTGACGCTTTTGTTCAAGTCTTTTTTGATGTTTGTTGGTCTTCAAAAATGTCTTGATTGAAAGTGCATTCATGTTTAATGTTGTGTGTGCCCTGCTAAAATATAGCTATGCTATAATCTCAACACCAGAGCCAGACACGCCAAAAGTGATATGCGTGCACTTCTCTGATTGTGCATATGTTATTGTGAGTGAATGCTATAATGTACCAGAGAGCAGCCGATGTCACCCTGAGAACAAGTTAATGTGGAGGCTTTGAAATCGAGTGAGCGTGATGTAGAAATGAAGAGAAGTTACACGTGTTTGGCTGATTTACATGTTGTCATTGAGATTCACTGAATCTGATATTTAGCTCAACAGGGGTTTCAAACCATTTCTCACTTCGATCCATCACGATGTCTTCTTCAACAGACTCAATCAGTCAATTCATTCAACTCATTGGTGCTGCTAACTCTGGTAGTACTTCAGATTCAACTCGTAAAAATGTGGAACGAATCGATGAGGAAATCAATAAAGTCAAGGTGTGTCAATTTCCATCTACTTACCATCTTGAACTCATTGCTCACTTCACTCTTGATCCTCACAGGTTCAAATTCAATCAAAGATTCAATCTGACTGGTCGGGATTCGATGATCAATGGAAAACTGGATTCCTTCTTCTACAACAATCAACCGAACAGGAAAAAGGCTTGAGACAAATTGAAGAGAATCTGGGCAACCCCGACGTCTGTATGATCATATACATCGAAACCTATCATTCATCATACGGACTGAGCTAATTGGGATGCGCTTCGGATCTTCGCACTTCTGTCAATAGAATGGTTTGATTCCTGTTTTGTTAAACAAACTTCAAACACATCAAGAACTGGCCTCACGTCATAGCGATTTAGATCTTGTTTTGAAAACCACCAAAGAGCTTTCAACTGCTTTTCAATCTTTAACCGATTTTGCTAAGCTTCTTGAGAATGGATCATTGGAAACAGCGGTAGAAAAATTAGAAGATTTTAAATCTTCAGTTAAATCTCAACAAATCAATTTCCACAAGTCTTGGTTAGCCAAACGAGCCATCAACGAAATTAAAGAATCAGAAGAAGATTTGAAACAACGATTGATCGATTCTGTTAGGGATGGTATTACCTTTCAGAAATCATCGGAAACTGGCTTGAGTGTGATTGAATTGAAAGAGTCTGTAGTTGGTAACAAGCATGCTGGCGCGTCTGCAATGCTTTGGAGTTCGGCCATGGTCGCACTGCAAAACCTTTCGGGCGGTGGGCAGGATCAGTATAAAAAGATAGCGGCGGATGTTATGGAACATGTTATCACCCCACTCGTTAACTCATCAACAAGTGAAGCAGTCTCTTTGGTAGAACAGTCAACCACCACAGATGATCCGAAAATCCGTCTTATGTTGAGTCACGATAATGGTGATGGTGGATCTATATATGAATCTCTAAAGCTGTTATTATCGACTATGGAAAAGTTGCTGTTTACCAAAGACGTATTGTTGAAACCATTCGCTCAAATCTTAATTCCATCACTGCAGTCATGCTTAATCGGAAACTACCTCGATCCATCACTACCCTTGTCACCTCATGACGAACCCAAATTGAATCAACTTACAACAATTTTATCAAGCACACGGCAGTTTGAGGCTTGGTTATGTGATAATGGCTGGCTTCCGTCTGGCGATAAGGATTGTCTTACATTAAGTGATTGGTGTAATCAAGTTGGAATTCACTTTGCACGGAAACGTACTACTCAAATTCTTGAAACAGTTAGGAAAGATATCTTGATGACTCAATGGGAAAGTGTATCTGTCGACTGGCAGGTTGAAATTCCTATTGAACCCCCAAGACCTTCGCCCAACATTGCAAGAGATGTAAAGCAGATGAAAGATGACGTGATTCAAGAGATGTCACCCGTAAGGTCTCTTGAACAGACCACCAATCCTACCCCTATGTCGTCCAAGTCTACAAACCGCAGCGAACATCAACCTACCGGTAGGCTGCCTTCACTCAATTCGGCGGGCTTCAAATCCCTCTTCAATTTTGGCGGCGGCAGCTCTCAGGAAGCACATCAACCGACACGAACCGGATCTCTATCAGAAAGCCCACTTATACCCCCGGACAGAACTGATTCCCCGAGCTTCCGTTCACTTTTTACTTTTGGAGACGATGAAACGGCTGCTAATCGATCTGGCATGAGAAGCGATCCATCTTCTTCATCTCACACTGAAAAAACCATATCATCGCCGGAACTCATAGATCCCATATCTGAGCTGTCGTCTCCAAAGTCGCCAAATGATATCGCACGACCCAAGCCGGATTCTCCGCCCGGTGGCGAGAGCCAAATCTCACCCAACAGGGTGGATGAAGATATCGACTGGGACTTGGGAGTTGATTTGACTACCTCTGACACCGACTTGACTACTAAACCATCGACTTCGACAATGGCTTCATCGCAAACGCTATCTAGCGATTTGCAGCGTCTTGCTGTTCCGGTCGAAGAAGTCGAGGAAGATGCTTGGGGCCTCGGTGATGATGAAGAAGAAGAGGACGCATTGGGCGAAGAGAATCGAACACCTGTGGTAGCTGATCATGCAAGTCAGAAAAGTGAATTGCAAACGTTGGAAACTATCTCCTCTGTCTCCAAATCCGCTTCGGATCAGCAAGAGCAGAATGATACCGAGGATGAACATGATCCTGATGGGTGGGGATTTGAAGAAGAAGAAGAAGACAACGCTGATGAGTCCGAAGAGGTCTTGAGGCTACGCGGCGGGATGGATTCAACTTCCACTGATGATGAGGAAGATGGCTGGGCATGGAACGATGAACCGTTGATTGACGAAGCGGTTAACACACCTTCTCAATCTCAGCGGCCAAGCGAAACAGAGCCGATTAGTCACTCAAGGACTTCGGAAGCAATGACAAAGGTGACTCCGGATTCTCGGCCAGCGGAGTCAAGGTCTGTTGTACAGAAGTTCACAATTTCTACACTTGCTCAGCGGCTGGTAGAATTAGCCCGCAGCTTGATCGAAGATGCAAACACTATCTCCAATCCTGAGTACGTCCTGGCGCCCGTTCTTCTTGTGTACCTCAGTCGCCCCTGCGAATACACACCGCTCGTTACTCCATTTGGGAGCTTACTTATTCAAGGGTCTCCTCCACTGACACCTTTTTGTTTTTGGTTTTGCTTTGCGTGCTCTATCTTATCCACAGCTTTTCATTCGAAGTGCTATCACCTTCTTTCCCCCTCCTCATTCGAGCAGCACTAGATGTCTTTGATCTTTTCCGTATCCTCATGCCTTTACATCACTCCAGTCTACTTGATTCGGTTCCATCTTTGAGTGCGCAGTTTGCAAATGATTGTGAGTGGTTATCAAAAGAGGTGGTAACTGTGGCAGGAGATTCGGCTAAAGATGAAGCCGATAAGGTGTCAATAAGCCTGAAAACTTTGTCACAAAAGACCAGGTCGACACATTTGGTGCGTAATCATCTGGCTGTCGCTCTTTATATTTTTCTCGGATGGAATGGGAGCTGATTCTGTGTCGGTCGATCACACCTCTGGTGTCCTGAAAACTTCACTTTTACACGTGTATGGGTTGAATCTTATCTTTAGCTCGCGCAAAGAAATATCATCATGGAATACTTGGATGATGCTAATGGATTCACCAACACCTCAGACGAAGAAATGTATTCACAATGTGAAAGAGCTTGTAAGCAAGTGATCCATACGCTTGAGCAGCTTTCACACGTATGGAAGGTAGCTTGGACCCCCTCTTTGGATTGATGGTACCGATCGATCAATCCTGCCACTGCATTCCTTTGAAACGCAAGTTTTACTGATGTGAACTACTTTGATTGATACCATACACGTGTAGCCGGTCATGCTGTCACTGGAATATGCACAATCTATGGGTTCACTAGTCGAGTCCATCCTAGAACGGATATTGAAGGAAATTGAAGCTCAGCCGGATATCTCGGAGATTGAATCACAAAGATTGAATACTTTATGCAAGTCTTTACATGGGCTATCTAAACTTTTCGGTGATGATCCACAAGAGGTACGTCTAGTGTTTCGAGTCGTTATGATCTTTGAAAAGTACAAAACCAAGTTGATTGACACCCCTTTGATTTTAAATCACTACAGACTTCTTTTGCAAAATACGTACCGAGCTGGTTTAAGTTTTGCTTCCTTTCTGAATTACTGGAGGCATCAATGGTAAGCCAATGTTCTGTTAGATTTTGTCAACGTCAATGCGAATATTTTGTTGATGAAGAACATTCATGTTTCATAAATGACTTTTCAGGCGGATATAATGTGGATGCATCAAGAAGGTCTCTTGTTAGAATACTCATCCAATGAGATCATCGGGCTTATACGTGCTCTGTTCTCTGATAGTAACTTACGGGCTAAAAACATTGATATCATTGCTGCTGCTAAGATGGAAAAATGATTCACTTAAATGTTTCACTTTTCTTGGTGATCAGAATATGACCTTTTTTTTGATAAAAACCAAGTTGAAGTTGATTGATAAAATTTTAGGAGCTCTGAAGATTGAATTCATTGTAAAAATTTATTAGAGTGAATGAAAATTGATGCATACATACACTTACCATATATAATGTAAAACAAAAGAAAAGAAAACTTTACAAAAACATCAAAGAGATAACAAAAATCAGATTTAGATTGATCAGTTCAAGTGTTGATTTTGAAAGAGATCAGATTCTTTTGATTTGTCTTTGTGAAAATTTTGATTTGTGGTGTGATTAATGATAACTAGGAAAGATTTTAAAGGTTTATTTGGGTTAGAAGCACAGTTTATAAAAAGTTTGAAGCTATTAGATGATGAATGCATAGCAAATTGAAGTCAGATGTTTGAAACTCACACAATAATCTGGTTGTCATGGTTTTGTTAGGTTGGGTTGAGTTGTTTGTGTACTGCTAAAGCATATTAAACTTTATCATGTAAATTGGCTGAGTTATTGTGGTTTGAAAACAATATGGATAAAAAATACTATCTTTGTGTACCATACTTAAGACTTGGATCTTGGATATCTTCAATCTTTATCAATATACATATACATTTGATTTCATATTCCTTGCTGCAATATGCTTCTCTGCTTTTTTGCCCCTTACAGCCTTTGAGACTTATCTATGTAATTACTGATTGTATATGCAAGTTGAATTTTCTAAAGTTAGGCAAACTGTGATGAAATGTAGGGCAAAAATCATGCTCAAATCAATTGCTAATACTGTACATGCAAAAAGTACAATTTCTAAAGCTTTCTGCCATTAATTCCTTGATTGGCTTTCTAAAATTGACCAATCAAGGGAGAATTTGACTGATCATGTGAAATATACCTTGTACAAGAAGGCTGCAAAGAAAAAGATATGGAGAAGTATATTGCAGAAAGGAATATGACATTTAATGTATATTTGTATTCATAAAGATTGAAGATATCCAAGATTCAAGTCTTAAGTATACGCTGTTTTGAGAAAAAAAGCTGTCCTCCTTGTTTTTGGTTTTTTGGTTTTTTTAAAGTTGCACTGAAAATTACTGGTGTAGACTCTACATGAAAGCAGCTATAACTTACACTCTACTGATTCTATCTCACATGAAAGGCTATATGAGAACTAGGCATCATTAGGAAAAGAGTGGGGGTAATCAATGGAGAAAGATGTACCTCCCAGAGGATGTTATAGAAGACTTAGATTAGAATACTGGAAACACACTTTGACAACATTTGAAAACTTACATATCATCCCAAGTATATAATCAAAAAACAAGTGACATCTCTACTTCCTATTTCAGAGCCTTATCTTGGGTCTAAGAAAGGTAACAACTAGGAAGTATTCTTTCAAAGATTAGGAAAAGAAGTACCTAAGTTGGGGGGAAACAAACTAATTCAGAGCCTTATCTTGTGTCAATAAGGATGCTTATTGAGCAAGGAGATAACCGCGTAATTGTTGATATATGACTGTTACAGGTTGATTACATATAATTTAAATATGTAGGACAGCAGTTGACAATAGTAATCAAAGAGAGAAAGCAGAATAAAGACCAGAATCCGCGGATACTAACTGTAAAAGGGCTTATAAGGGACTTGTAAGGGCTTATAAGGGACTTGTAAGGGCTTATAAGGGACTTGTAAGGGCTTTTGAAGGTTGTTATGGACAGATTGGTTGGTTTATAAAGCTTGGTAAACTTGATTGGTTATTGTAAAAGATAAGGAACAAAATAAACAAGACAAAAGCAGGGGTTTATATACCCATCAGAACAATAACAAGCAGCACACAGTAATGAAGATAATAGAAAAGAAATAAAACATCCTTGAGCAACAACTGATCATTGATCTGTAGAGGATCACATGTGATCATTAGACTATCCATCATGTACATGTGATTTTATCCTAATCCCTGAATCTCCCGTGCAATATGGTCTAACATAACCCATCCTTTTAGCACAAGAACCCTAGACATCACTTCTTGGCGGCCCCCATGTGCCAAGAAGATCTGTTTTAGATGAACAGTTTTTAAGTTAGGTTACCAATCCAACTTAGTTACTTGAACTAAAGTTCTCGTGGTTATTGGACAGATCCTTATAAAACAATTCACATAGGATCATCTACCAAATTGATACGTGAGCATTTTGTTTTATTGAATATGTACTGAGTAAGTCTTTGGATAACCTGTAGAAAGAGAAATATAGAAACTGAATTGAAGTTTTAAGAGAAAGCAATAATTGAAAAAGAATAATAGAAATAAGGTACTATGTGTATTGCTCATGTAATTGATGATTACATGTTTGTAACTTCATGTAATCATTTGTTACGAGTTATTTCAGCTCATTACTACATGTAATTGTTTAATTACATGTAGTTGTATGTATGTAATAAGGTTTGATTGTGAGGAAGGAGATATATGGCAATGGGCGTGTATGCCCTTCCTGACATCTTGGGTCTAAGAAAGATAACAACTAGGACTAGGATAAGATAAAATAGGTCAGGCAAGGTTGCAAATATCAAGAATAAGGAATAAAGAAAAGGAGTTCACTCACAGTCTTCTTTTCATAGATGAGGAAAAGAAGACTGATCAAGGATAGTCTGTTATTGTATATATATGTAAGAAGATTGGGGTGAATCTGCTATAAGCGTAATCCAGGAAAAAAGCACTTGTATGCTTGTGTTGATTGAACCTCAACAACAGAAAAAATAAAATGCCTGAAATATTCATTGCATCCAAACTTGAAACACATGATTGAATTATCAAATGTATACAAAAGTATGCACTGCAGATTGTGAGTACAAGATATGAGTTAAAAGAAGGTTTATACAAAAGATTATGCGCTGGTTATAACCACACACGCATATATCAATATTTTAAGAAGGGGGATAGGACACCAAGCCAGAGGAATGGGAGCCTTCAGGGCTCAGGACACAATGTCTGGAGGTAGGGGTCTGACACACCCTGTCCTCTTCCTATGCTGGTCATCCCCCTTTTGGGATGTCTTCTATGGACTATAACTTGAATATAATGAGTACATCAAAGTTCAAAGTGTGAGTAGAGAGAGACACCCAGAAGGCACCCCCCAAACCACCCAAACCTGGGAATTCACAAAAGTAGTCCACAGGGAACAGGTGAATGGATAGAGTTCAGGCCCAAGACCAAACCCAATCATCTGATAAATACATCATAGATCTGTAAGTGTATACTCTAGAAGGAATAGAATGTAATCATTTTTCTGGCCAGAAGATTACTTTATGCTGATGGTGTCAGCCAGTAATTCTCAACTGGAGGACCTCTCACAAGCAGGTTTGGTTGGCACTAGCCTGGAACACCCATAGTGTTTTTTCCAGGCTTGCATTCCCACAACAAGAGATGTTCTACTGATCCAGAATCTTGGCAGATTGGGCAAACTTAACCAAGTCCAATAGTGCCTCAGATTTATTAATGACAAGTCGTTTCTGAGGCACAAGGGATTTGGGCAATAGGTTGGATTTTTGGTGTGGTAGGTTTTGGAATTTAGTAGAGGAAAAATAGAATTCCTTCTACACTCAACCATACCTCATGCCCCAATACCAAAAACATGACTGTAGATTCTTGTGCTTCTTCTGAAGAGAGGGATCTCTTCAGAATCCTTGAAAAAAAATTAGGAAAGAAGTTTCCTTTGAGACAAAAACATCATCACAAGAATAAATACATTACAGTGAGTCTTGTATTTAGCTTGAAATTCAAGCTACAGTCGGTGGAACACAGTTGAGAAATGAAGTCCTCAATGAAAAGATTGACAGAACCAAGGTAGAAGTGAGATTTTGCTGGCAGATCAAGAGAGAAAGTCCATCTCTATCTGATTGTTTATTTTATTTGTGTTCGGATGCGACCGAGATTGCAACAAATGGACAAAAGAACAGAAAAACAGGGAAATTGTTCAAATTAATTCTACACACCTCCAGTGCACATTTTTAGTTTGTTTCAAGAGATAAGGAGTCCCTCCATGTCACCTTCTCTAGACTGGACCAACAAGCCCATCTCAAGTAGCATGAAAACAGATATCAAAGGGATTCTTTGAAATCCTTGAAATTTGATTGTGCAATCTGGAATTTGGGATTACATACGATGATCACTGTAATTTCAAAATCAGTGAAGACAATGTTTTTGTCTCAAAGGAAACTTCTTTCCTGATTTTTTTTCAAGGATTCTGAAGAGATCCCTCTCTTCAGAAGAAGCACAAGAATCTACAGTCCTGTTTTGGGATTGGGGCATGAGGTATGGTTGAGTGTAGAAGGAATTCTATTTTTCCTCTACTAAATTTCAAAACCTACCACACCAAAAATCCAACCTATCACCCAAGTCCCTCGTGCCTCAGAAACGACTTGTTGTTAATAAATCTGAGGCACAATTGGACTTGGTTAAGTTTGAGATTGGGTAATGTGAATCTTGTGTCATATTCCTGGACCCTCCCCACATCTAGATTTGATTGATTGAACATCAGACCCCTTCCATTATCAGCTCAAAAGTCATGACCTGGGTTAACAGACCCCTGGACTTGATTATTCACAAGAACTGGACCCTTAACAAAGCTTAAGTATTCTGAGGGAATCCACATTTCACTGCTGCTCTTGAAAATTTTACAACTCAATGAATCAAAGACTTGGACTTGTGATTCTGCTTTTTCACAATCAGTTTTCCTCTCTCTACACAAGGTGTGCAATGGGTGCAACTGTGTTTGTGCAGCAGGTGCAATGGTCATTTATGTTACATGCAGTTGATTACAATGGAACATTTCTTTGTAGTATTGTCACAAAATTTGTCTGGTGCATATCATACGGAGCCAATAAATCAACATCAGATAAGCTTTGTTTCAGACATGTGGACCCCATTTTGTTGACAAGAAAAACTAAGGATTTATTTCAACTGGTCCCTGGATATCATGGCATGATATTGATCTGTACACCAAAACCCCTCAAGTGTTTCAGCTGAGAACCCCTTCCAAATTCCCTTGAACATAGAAAAATAGGGACTAGAAAAAAATTATAAGAACCATCCACTTTCAAGAGGTTTCTCCCATTGTCCTCTTCAATTAGACATATTGAGTTGATATCTTTGGGATAGCTACTGATAATGTGAACCCTTTTTTTAATAGAATTCAGATTATCCTCTTCATCTTATGTTGTCCTTCTGATCCTGACCATCCATTCACATACTTCTGCTTGTTAGATCTTGTGGGATATACTTACTTGGAGCCACATAGTTTTCAGACTCTAGGTGAGCCCTCATTCTTTTGTACACCACCTCAGAATTGGTCATCTGATTATACACTGACATAGGATAACACTTAGATTCAGGATAACAACAAGTTGAGAACATCTTACCCTTTTATTTTTGTTCCCAATGCCTTTTCCATTGTCCTGGTCTCAGTTTTATCATTCTAACTCTAGGTGTATGAGAGCTGACATTATCTGGCCCCAAATTACTCATCTAGTCACCATCACCTACAACATGAAGTTGGTACTATCACCCAAATTCTTGGCAATTGGCTTCATGTTAATTTGTGCATCTCAAGTCATTTTTAGTATGGAAGATGTTTTTGTCACACTTGCTCCTGGTGAAGAATATGATGGTATTACCTGGATTTCTCCACCAGGAGGAAAAGGTGGAACATTGTCCAATCCCAGGGGCCAAAAAATAGAAATACAACCAGTAAAAAATCATATCCCTCCTTTGAAGACTACTGAAACACAACAGTACATCCCGCGCAACTTCATACATCCTAAAGATAGGGGTATTTTTTTCAGGATTGAGACAACTGGTGATCAACAATAAGATTGAAAAAAACAAGTATCCACACCCATTTTTCTCACTTCAATTGTTGTTCTATGTTTATGTATTGGAGGCTCAATCATTGGAGAGCTAGAAATCAAACCATTTCACTCTTTTTGTCTATGAATTTTCTCTCAAATACATGCATAAACTTGAGAATTTGTGCAATACGTGTGTTTGTTCTATGAAATGGAAGAGTCTTGTTTTTACTCTTGAAAATATATATGATGTCCTGCTCTCTGATGTTGAATTGTTGTTGGAAGATCAGGATCAGCTGATATAAAGCCCTCAGGACCATCATTCTATCAAAAAACTTTCCATTCCCTAACTTGCTACCTGTAGCTAAAAGGTAGTTTGTTAGAAGGGATTGTATGCTCTACACATCTCTAGGACTATCAAATAGTCTCACGTCCGCCCTACTGGTGCAATCCTTACATTCAAGTCAAGATCGGGCAGGTTGGGGGTAGCAGGGGCCCCGGCCCGGGCCTTGGTTTCCTGAAACCAAGAAGCCCCAAGGTTTGGTTTTTGTGAACCAACCTTGCCTGGCTGGGGTCCTCCATTGGGTCGGAGGGTGGGACAATCTTTCTATTACTTACTCTTTCTTTGACGGGTGGGTGGGTGGTCAAACAAAAAACTGGGCGCTCAGAGATCTGGATCTCTTGAGCTATGATGAAGATGGACTTGCGACGAGATGATCTAGTCTTCTACCAGCTAGATCTGGGAGGTAAGGAAAAGCGTGAGGAGAAAAACTTTTCCTGCGGCGCACTGCTAAGTACCCTGACCTCCATTGGGGCTTAAGCCTTGTGGGTATCTCCTGCTACTACCTCCCGCGGTCGCCGCAAGTCTTCATGGACCCACAAACCACCTGTGTTATGGTGGTTCTCTCAATCCTTGGTAATTTCTGAGAATCACATGAAATTCAAAGTTTGGATATGGCAGTCCATAGTTTCTTACAAGGGCATCAAACCTAAGAGACAAAATCAATAATTGGTAAGAAATTGACTGATCCACTACTAAATATTGATGTGTTCTCCATCCTACATATGTATGAAATTTGAACACATGTGGTTTTATTATTCTTCTTGCCCAGTCCAACATTCCACACTTTTAGACACCAGCAACTATATATGAGGTGTGCAATGGGTGCCACTTTCTTTGTGCACAGGTGCAATGGTCATTTATGTTGAAATCAGTTGATTGCAATGGCTCAACATTTCCTTGTAGTATAATCACAAAATTACAGTCTTATTCAAATCATACAGAACCAAGCAATCAACATCAGATAAGCTTTGTTTCAAACATGTGCACTACATTTTTTTACAAGAAAATTGAGACTTGGTTTCAACTTGATATAATGTCATGCTACATGATCTGTCTACCAAAACCCCTGGTTTCAGCTGATATACAATTCTGACTTCACTTGAAGATAAAAAGATGGGAACTAGCAAAAACTGATGTAAGAACCATCCGGTTTCAAGAAATTTTCTCACCTTGTCTTCAGTTGATAATTGGAATAGCTATTGATAATGTGAACCCTTCTTTCCATAGAATGCATATTTGTCTTTCCATCTTACCTTTTCCTTCTGATCCTGACCATACCTTCACATACTTCTTTTTTTTAGAGCTTGTGGGATATATTTTATTGGAGCCACATATTTGTCAGACTCTAGGTAAGCCCTCACTTCTATGTACATCATGTTGGGAATTTCATCTGCTCATATACCATTACTGACATGGTACAACACCTAGATTAAGGATAACAACAAGTTGAGAACCTCTTACTGTTTTATTTTTGTTCCAAATGCCTTTTCCATTGTCCTGGTCTCAATTTAATAAATATATGAGCGCTGACATGATTTGGCCCTGAATCATTCATACAGTCACTACATCATGAAATTGGTAATATCACCCAAATTCTTGACAATTGGCTTCATGTTAATTTGTGCAGCTCAAGTCATTGTTAGTATGGAAGGTGATCTTGTTAAACTTGCTCCTGGTGGAGAATATAATGGTATTACCTGGACTTATGAAGAAGGTGGAAAAGGTGGAACATTGTCTAATCCCAGGGGCCAAAAATTACAAATACACGCAGCAGCACCTAATATGGCTCCATTGACAACTTCTTCAAAACAACAGTACCTCCCACATCAATTTTTAGATGATGAAGATAAGGGTATTATATTTAGGATTGGAACGATTGGCAATCATCAATAAAATTCAAAATAAGTATTCATGCCCATTTTTCATCGCTCCAATTGTTGTTCTCTGTTTTTGTATTGGAGACTCCGCATCATTATAGAGCCAGGATTTAAACCCCTTTGCTCTTCGGTGTCTGTGAATTTTTCTAAAATACATATATAAAAACTCAACAACTTGGTCAAAACAGGTGTTTGTTCTATTGAATGGGATAGTCTTGTTTTTATTTTTGAAAATGTATGTCCTGCTCTCTAGGGATGAATTGTTGTTGGAAGATCAGGGCCAGCTGAGAGACAGCCCTGAGGACCATCATTCTGTTGAACATCTTTCCTTTGCAACTTCTGAGAGTCACATGCAATATGAAAGTTTGGATACAAGGGTCCATAATTGCTTACAAGGGCCTCAATATCATCATGTAATTCAGTAATGCATTAGATGGGTATACAAAAAAATAAAGGTATTCAAACTTAAGCACATACAATCAATCACAAGGGTACCCAGAATGTAGACAAATGTTGTACATTAATGATAAGGGTGTTGTTATTAAGATCTAAAGGAACACCCAAAAATGTAATCAAGAGCAAGGCACAAAGATATGCCATTGTGCCATTGATCAGAAGAAATAGTGGCCTGTATTTTAACATCAAACTGCCTGTTCATTCCATGATCTGCATCTCACACTGAAGATGCGAGCTTGCTAGCAGCAATCAAAAGTTGGTACTAACCTGAGTGTACTTCATCAGATATAAATCATCCAAGGTGTTGAATAAGTCAAGACTTGCTGGCATTAGTAATAGCTGGGTGGGGAAGGTGCAGATCCACAAATGCATTCACATTTGAAAAAACACAACCAAAAAATTGATATAATAGAAAGGCTCTCTGTCACAATAAAACCAAAAGGATTTGAGGGTTCCGGGTTCCAGTGCCAGCCTACAGAGCCTGTATGTAGCTTCCATGAGGGGGTTTTAAGTGATGGGGTGTCAACAAGACATAGCATATAGGCAGTAAACCTTGAACTATATAAAAGTACTTCAATACCTCCAAGAGAATATCATGTACATCCTGAAGTACCATTGAGCTTGTGAAGTGGATGACCTTTATTACCTTTGTTCATGGGATGTCAAAGAGTTTGATTGACAGACTGAAGGAGTTGCAGTGTCCTCAAAAATCCTGCTTCCTCAGATATGTTGTTTGATGATAATTTATCAACTGCCAAAAAACACCTGGACAACTGGATGATGTTAGAATTGGATTCCCATGATGATACAATTGGGTGATACGGAGTGATCTGTTTTTGTCGCTTATTGACAAAATGCATTCATTTATAAAACCCACAAGACCAACATGTCAAAAAACGTGGGCGCTGGCTGGATGAGCCCAATGTCAACAATGAGTATCATTGTGTCCCACTGACTCGTATAGGACCCATCTCCTCTTCAACAGGTCTTCTGAGCTCAAGGCCCCTTCTCGGTCGTTTTGATCTTGCGTAGAGTCATGAGCTCGTTTAAATCCAGTTGATAAAATATTATGCTGGTCTTCCATTGACTCATCAGGACATGGCCTGAGGGGCTCAGTGGCAGACGGACCGAGTGAGCCAGCGTCTGGAGGGAAGCAGACCAAAGTCCAACTAGTCAGTCCGGCGTCAATCCCACGTTCAGGACCTTTCATAACGCCTTTGCCATTCTTTTGACGCTTTCGAGACTGCGAAGAGTTTGGAGCTGGAATCTCTTTTGGTCGGTCCATTTGTTTACGATTGAGGAAAGAAAATGGGGCCAAAGGTGCCGTGTGGCCAGTGATAGAGCAGGACTGATAGGTGTTGATTAAATCGAGGGTAAATTGATAAACTTTAATTGGATGAAAGAACCCAACAGCTGAGATGGTCTCTATAGGTGTCATAGGGCAATCCGTTGGATATGAGTCGGAAGTCGAAAAGTTTGCAGCTCCTAGGTGTTCGAAAAGATCTAAGAGGTCATCTTCAGATCCGAAATTCCTCGCCGGATGCCAAGGAGATGGAAAAGGGTTTCGGGTATGTGAAAGACTAGAATGACATTGATGGACTTGGGTTATGGTCGGGTTGAGAGGTAGGTCGATCTCTTTCAATTCGCCTGTAAAGCCGCCATTAGTGACAGTGAAGTCAGACAGAGGCAGTAGCGGGGATAACCAAATTTTCTCAACCTTTCTCATTGACCCATACCATCATGACTTCCCATTTTCGTTCTGTGACCGTAACTTCAGGAATCATCCAACCGCTAAAGACATTACTGGGAAAACACTTGAGACGATCGCGAGTCCGATCATAACCTTTCTGTCCCGACCTCATAGTTTGATCTCGCATGTCGATCTCAACCACTGTATGTCAGGCAGGTGATCAAATGAGAATCTTGAATAAAGGTCAAAGAAGTCAACCGAATGAGGATTTACCATAATACTGTCGACGAGGGCCGAATTTCGAAGGCCTTCCTGGAAGTCCAAGGGTCTCGTACGTGGATCGATTGAGTCTCATATGGATTTTCCCTGGTCAGATTTATGGACATCAAAAGATGATCAGCTCAAAGAAGATGAAGATCGAGGAATGACAAGTAAGCTTGATGCGAACCATATCCATCGACAGCAAAAACATCATCACCAGGAACTGAGGATTTCGATAAGGCGATCAGACTACCTGATCGATAATCAGAAAAATGGTAAACTCTCAGTTAGACAGCTTGAATGATTGATAATCTGAATCTGGGTAAGGCGCCATCTGACCAGATCGGAGGTAGGTTTGAGCTACGCCTGGTTCCATGAGAAGTGATAGATGAAATCCAGTGAAGCGTTGATATGCGTCCATTTTTGATATATTTTTGATCATGGGATTCGAAGTCATTGAGGGACATTCGCCAGAATCATTCGAAAAAGAGGAATCGGGCTTTGGAAGGATGATATCGAGCTGTTTGATGAATAAAGAATTGACATCAGTTATGGAAGGATAGATACAATGGTATAATGGAAATAGTCTGATACTTAACTTGAGAAGTGAAAGGATGTCGACCTATAGTTTGCCATGGTCTAGGTAATGAAATGGAAAAGGGAGTTGAAGGATTAGATTTTGGAAGATAGAGTTGATGATCAGATGTGATGAAAAGGTGATCTCTAGGTAATTCTGGTTTGTGAGGTTTTTTATGATGACTCTAGGAAGAAAGAAAGAAAGTGGTTAGTGTTGGTCTGACTCGAGTTGAATGTAGTTGAAGATACTCACCATTTTGGTATCTATCAATGTTTTTCAGATGAAGTTGTCAAAATTTCCGATCCACCAAATGGTATAGAGATCCCTCTATATAGCCATACCACACAGTGTTAAAGTATTGTATGTATTATCACGTGACTTTCCACCATGTGTAATTTGAAAAAAGTTGATCAACCAACTTTTGAAAACTTCAACTTGAACCTTTAACTTGCAAAAAACCAAAACAAAATGGCCGACTTAATCTTCAACTTTGATACCAATTCAAATTCAAATCAAACCATCACATCATCAATCAAATCTACACCTGGAAATTGGACTCATAAACTTAAACAGAAACGTAAAGCTAAACTAATCAACAAAAAACATAATAAATCAACCGAAACTCAATCAAATCAAATCATCAATGAAGAACCTACAAATTATCATGAACCAACGATCAATCATAAACATTCTTTGGATTCGAGAACAAATGACGATCCAGTTCCAGTTACTTTAAATATCCTCAAGATTGTCCAATTTGATTATCATCATATTGACCCATTGATTTGGATGGTTCTGTAATGTATCGTGATCAGGAAAGAGACTACGACAAAATCTCATAAAGAATCAACAAATCCCCCCAACAAACTTCAATACATTTCCTCATTATTCTCATCGATTATCATTCCGACAATCTCGAATTCCGAATCTGAAGAACCTGTAACACTTTACGCACCTTCAAATGCTTCATTATCAGAAATCCAGATCACTTCATCATCTTTAAATTTACATCCCCAAATCAGTCAACATATCTCAACTCATTCAAAGATGGGACCCATCACTTCACCTACTGGCATTCAATCGATTTCTTGGCCTCTTTTAACTTCTTCTATTAATCCTTTGACTAGAGATGTTATTATTCAAAGTCAAACTGGTAGTGGAAAAACTTTAGCTTATTTAGTACCTATCATTCAAGACCTACTTTGTTTGTCTACTTCAGATTCAAATAAAAGATTGACCCGAGAGATTGGAACGATGGCTATGATCTTGGTACCTACAAGAGAATTGGCAGAACAGGTGACAAATGTGGCCATCAATTTATTGTCATTTGCAAGTGCTGGTGGTCCAAAGGATGTATCCGAGGATCAAGAAGTAGAACCTTGTGATGATGATGATACAAGTAAAACCCCTAAACTTAATCCACGGTGGCTTGTTCCAGGAACCGTTCATGGTGTAAGCTTTTTCTGATTTTCTCTTTCATCATCTAATGATCTGGCTTACGTGAGTTTGACTAGATCCTTTTTTATATGACACGATGATCTTCACAGGGAACCAATCGAACGCACGAGAAAGCTAGGTTACGACGTGGTGTACCTTTACTTGTCTGTACACCAGGAAGGTTATTGGATCATCTTGAAAAAACTGCAGCCCTTCGTATTGCCGGTGATCCTCCGCGACCGAAAGAAAACCCAGACAAAAACCCTAATAAGCAACCATTAGGTGAACCAGGCGGGGATCAATCTTCGGATCCTAATTTGAGCTTACGGTGGTTGGTAGTGGATGAGGCGGATAGATTGATGGATATGGGGTTTGAAGAACAAATGAAGGGTATATTGAAACACTTGGCAGATCGTGAAACAAAGGCTATCTCATACTGGGAACGCAAAAGACAAACTATCAATCGTGCAGCTCGTCGAACAGTACTGTGTAGTGCCACAATGCCCGATGGGGTTAAGAAATTAGTCGGAATGACTCTTAACGATCCTATTTCTCTCAAGTCAGGCGAATCTAATCAAGATCAAAATCAGGCAAAAGACGATAATCCGAATGCCCCCAACACCTTCTCAGCTCCTTCTCAACTCACTCAGCATTACGTTGTGACTCCTCCGAAGCTCAGACTGGTTTCCCTTATAGCACTTTTACGTCAAATCACTTCATTAAAGCAGATACATGTCGCTGAGAAAGTCTTGGTGTTTATGAGCTGTACAGCTTCAGTCGATTTCCATTTTGAAGCGTTTGGCGGACTGACGATGTCTAGAGGACCTGAACCTGATGATGTGGTTGATTCGGAAGACAAGGATGATGCAGCTGGCACACAACCTATTCTCAAGAGCTGTCCACTCCTTCCCGGAACGAAGATATTTAGATTACATGGTAATTTAGATCTTCAAACTCGTTTATCATCACTTCAAGCCTTTTCAAAGCCAAATGCACCGGACGATAAAGCGCCATCGATTCTATTTTGTACTTCGCTAGCTGGTAGAGGTTTAGATGTACCATTCGTATCACATGTGATTCAATATGATTTACCAACTGAAGGCGGTGTAACAGAATACCTTCATAGAGTAGGACGTACAGCACGTGCAGGACAATTAGGAGAAGCTTGGAGTTTTTTATTACCTAGAGAAGAAGAATGGGTAGAATGGTGTGAAAAAGGTCAAAGTAGAGGTAGTCAAGAAGTAGTGAAGATTCAACCGATTGGAGTTGAAAACCTTTTGAAGAAAGGGTTTGGAGGGAATGAAACAGAGTGGGAAACTCGTGCTACTGATGTACAGATGGCTATTGAAAGATGGGTTGTTAAAAATTTAGATGTAAGTCAGAGTTTGATTTAAAAAGATTTCCTTCGCGGAGGAAACTGACTTTTGATTGATCGACCTTTTTTCATCTTGTTTGACTTGATTTGATTTAGAATACATCATTGGCATCTAAAGCATTTAGCTCACATATCAGAGCATATGCGACACATCCATCACAAGAAAAACATTTCTTTCATGTCAAGAGTTTACATTTAGGACATTTAGCTAAATCATTCGGATTGAGAGAAGCACCTAAACGAATTTCAGGATCATTTTCTACAGAAGATATGACCAAACCGATTAGTAAACGACAGATGAAATTAGCTAATAGAAGGAATCGAACTGCTATTATTGAAGAAGAAGAAGATGAAGAAGCGGAAGGTAATGAGAGTAGGTTTGTTAGTTTAAGTCAGTTCAAACATAAGAAAAATGGAAATACATTGAAAGGGCCATTAGTCAATGGTGCTGATGAGTTTAATATTGGAGGTTTTTGAGAAGATATTGATGAAGTAATTACCAAGAGATTGGATTCTTGATTGATTGTATTCTCAATGCTTATTATACCTTTTTTTGATGATTTGATCATGGTCAACTTCACTTGTCTTGGAATCAGTTACAATATCCCTACAGATGTATTGCCATCAGATAATACCAAATAATCATATTCCAAGATTCTTTCTGGTCTGTAGGCCAATGAACATGGAATAAGTCTCAAAAAAGTTGTATGCTCTGGTGCTGCCTCTTGGCATTTTTTTATATTTTTGAGGTTTATGGTTGTTGCTGAATAGCATTACTATCATCTCTTTTGTTGTCCAAGTTATACAATTAAATCACACAGGTTATCTTTGTATCTAACTGGTTAGCTGTATCATCAACTCGTGTGGTTTTACCAAAGTAGATCCAGATGAACCCAAACTGCCATCTCCTGTCTTCATGCTCAACTGGGTATTGGTTTGTTGTGGATTTATATTTGACATAAGTCATATAGTTTAGACAATGGATTGAAATGGAATAGATTTTTGATAAACAAATCATACCACATACATCACCACTGGGTAACTATGTGTCACATAACCAGCTTAAAAATGGTTGTGCTGTTGATCTAGTCAAAAACTTGGCTTTGAGCCACATGATGGATGGTTAGACGAACCCATCCATAGCCTGTCAAAAAGCTCAACTTTTGGGCAGAGGAAAGCTGATTGACTGGCTGGTAGCCTGACAAGAGATCAAGCAGTCTTTTGGCAAGCAGAAGACTGGCAAGAGGACTTTCTTCTTGGATAGCCAAATCCAAGGCTGTGAAATTCAAACATTAGATTTTACTTTTGCCTTCAGAGAAGTTGTTCTCCTCAAAGGGTTCCTGATCTGAATTTGTGAGGGCTCCCAGGATCTATTCATTGGTCTGGAAGCCCTTCCCAATGTTCCTCAACCTGGTTGACCTTACCAGAAGGGGCAGGGCATCAGCTCAATACAATGTTACAAAATGAGGCCTGTCTTGTATTGTGCTGCAAGTGAAATCCTAGACCAATACACTGAGTTTTATTGCAGCCACAATGGATCTCAGGACCTACCAATTGTGTTGATTTTGTTTGAAACCCAACAAAACAAAGCCAGATGGCTCCTTGACACAATTTCTTACACCTTGTCTGCAAGTAAGCTTCATTTTTGTACAAATGTGGGATACAAAGTAGAATCCAGGCACGTGCCCGGAATTATTTTGGCAGTAAATTTTGATTTTCTGGGCAAAAGTCCGGGCCCAGAATTCAAATTTACTGCAAAAAAAAACCTGGGCACAAAGCCGGGAAAATGTCCAGATCTTACTTTGTATCCCGTAAAGCTGGTACAATTGTATTGCACTGAAACTGTGTTGCAATGCACCCTCCCTCTCTCCTGGTTTTTGTGCTGTGCATGCAATGTGTTCATACACTGTTGCAAGTGTGACTACCTGCAACAGAATTGCAATGAAGTGCAATATCTTGTGTTGGTCCTTGGATGTTGGCATGGGGTGTATGGTGTGGTTATGGAGGTAATGAGAGATGTGATTGGCAGACCTGTCAAAAATTTTCAGAAATGGTCTAATGGCCACTATTGACCCATCTGACACCTTGCCATAATGCTACCCAAGCACAGGTATGGCTATGCTATACCAACCACCAAGCAAATTGGGCCTGGAGGCAGTCATTTCTGACAACAGAATTCTTGTCCCAATTACCCCATGGTGTAGATGTCTGAAACGCAAGACATGTGACCTAGCAAAAAATTTTGACAGGAGTGGCAAGATTGCAAGAGGTGGAGTATAGCTCAAGGTATCAAAATGCAGCTCTCATAAAGCACACAGGCAAATCACCACTGAGGTTCCTTTGGGAATCTTTAGGATACACAATAAATTATATACTTTTTTGCATGCACAGCATCTGACATGCATATCCTTCATGTGACCATGCCTTCTTACTAAGGGGTTGTTTTAAGGGTTCAAAACAAGGACAAGGTAGATTGCTGAAAGTTATTCATTAGACCATAAGAGCATACAATAACTCCCTCAGGGGGCCTGGTTGGATTTCAGGTACATGGAATTTCAAAAGAAGTGTGGTGTCAGCTGGCTGACAAGTCACATTCACACAGGTCAGGTTGATAAGAGTATTTCTTTCATATATACATGGTGTTGAAATTCATCAAAGATAACTTTGGAGTTATCATGTAAAGCCATGATGTTTGTGTAGTGACATAATCATCTTATTCATTGTGATCTTCACCCTCAGAATTTCTGTTCAAATGTAGCCCTACCCCTTAGAGATTTGTACAATGGTTGTATTGAACTAATTTCTTGTAGCTGGCCTCTGAGGGTTTGTGTGCTTAGAAATGTTGTTTTCTAGACATCACTTGGGGTATCTTTCCAATTGGCCTCAAGTCATTCAGCAACATAGTGAAGGTCTTCCAGACCATATATTTTTTGTAACAAAGAAACACTTGCCAAGTTTGTCTTCAAATCATGAAAGGTTGGCTTTGTAAATTGACTACATGATTGGCGCCCAGCTGCCACACAGGTTTGAGGAAGATATTTCTACTTTTGATGTACAGTCCCCTCCAAGTGATTTACATAATCATTCAAGTTTTGCAGCGGCGGGGCCAGGTTTTGTCCCAAACCCAATGATTACAAGTCCTAGGTGTGGGGACATGTACATCAAGAAACACTTTATCACTGCTTGCTGTTTTCTCTGATGGGTTTCCATATTTCAAATCATAATCTTCTGGGACACTGAGATTATTTTATATATCTCTGTAAGTGATTGGGGTTTTAGCAAGAACTGCTCTAGAAGAAAAATTATCTGGGTCACTTGATTCTTGGTATTCTTGTGAAGTCAACAAAGGAAAATTTGGTCCATAATTGGCCAATGAGGTGTGAGCTGTGCAACAGGATGTTGTGGGGTCACCTGAAATGGTTGACAATGGCTCAAAATGGAGTTGAGTTTAAGTTGACTTACAAAGTGAGAGGCTCTAGATTGGGTCCCAGCATAAAAGTCAATGTGATACATGCAACATTCCTCTGTGGGCCTGGTTCAAGTACAGAGTGGATGATGGCTTGAAAAGATGTTACGTAGAGCAATTAGCCAGAAAGATCTTTGGCATATTTTCCCAAAATTAGCTACAAAACTTGTTTCCTTTTGAGGGGAAGATCTGTTACATGTGAAGATACCTTCCTGGTCTCATCATAAAATTACAGTCTCATTCATTTATACAAAATCACCACCCAAAATGAGATAACTGTTGTTTCAGAAACCCAGACCCTGTTTTTTTTCACAGGAAAAATCAGTAGTTTGATTTTCCACTTGCTATCATGACACAATTATAGACCCATACCCCAAAACCACTTGCTTTGATTGAGATCTTGTTTCAACTGCTGCTCAAATAAAAAAAGACAGGGTCTAGGAAAAGATTATAAGAACCAGGTACATCCTTTCTTTCCCTGTCTTCTTCAATTAGACAAATTCAGTCAATATTTTCTGGATTGCTGTTGATAAAGTGAACCCTAATTTTTATAAAATTTCAATTTTGCTTTTCATCCTACCCTCTCTGTCTGATCCTGACCATCCATTCACATGATTCTATGATTTTAGATCTTTGTTGAGATATCTTCTTGGAATTTCATACTTCCCAGCTTCTAGGTGAGCCCTCATCTCATTGTGCAACATCTCATCATGGTTGATCTGCTTGAAGTTGGATACTTACATGGCAAATCACTTAGATTCAGGTTAAAAACAAGTTGAGAAACTCTATCCCTTTCAGTTTCTTTTTTGAGATATCTTCCTCGTCATCCAGGTGTCAGTGACTTAATAGCAACTCCACATATATGAGAACTGAAAAGATTTGACCTTACATTATCCTTCCAGTTGAAATCATCCACATCATGAACTCTCCACTATTATCTAAGTTTTTGGCAATTGGCTTCATTTTAATTTGTGGATTTCAGCACATTTTTTGCACAGGAGATGATTTTGCACTCTCTCCTGATGATGAGAAACATGGTCTTATCTGGAATGGTCCAACACAAGGAGGAGGCACATTGAGTAATCCAGAAGGCCATGTA